AGCTCACTGTTGGCAGCAGCACAGCTGGAGCAGAAAGTATATTTATATATGACAATGGATCTCTGTACATATACACCATGTTTCCACAAAAGTAAGGCATCCCCTGAAAATAAGACCTCCCAGAAAATAAGCCCCCCCCAGCTACCGTAACTCTGGACTCTGGACCATAGTGGTGGGTGCCGCTGTGCAGCTCACTGTTGGCCACAGCGCAGCCGGAGCTGACAGGAAGTGCGAGGTCTCTTTTAATAAAACAATAAATGTGTACTGTATTCTTCTTCATGGAAAAATAAGACATCCCCTGAAAATAAGACCTAGCGTATCTTTGGGAGCAAAAATTAACATAAGACACTGTCTTATTTTTGGGGAAACGGTAGCAGCCAAGTGCTTAGCCACTGCGTTACCAATTTTTGGGGTTTTTTTAAGCACTCTTACTGCAGCCATATGATATAGATTAAAAGACCAGTCAGCAGAGGCTATTCTCCTGAACTAGTATTGAGGGCATTCCCTGGGGAGTGCAAACGATTGATGCACTCAGTTTTGCAAACTGAAAAGCTGTTGGTTCAAGTCCATCAAGAGATGCCTCTGAAGAAAATTCTGGTGATCTACTTCTGAAAAATCAGCTATTGGATACTTGTAGTTTTCTACTCAACATGGGTTGCCATGATTTGGCATTGACTTATTGGCAGACAGCTAACTGGTTAGTACTGACGTAGACCTGATGGCTCAGTAATGTAGTGCTCTGTTGCTGACCCAAAGGTGGGCTGTCAGAACTAGGGACTCCATGGAGCAGGATGAGCTGTGTCAATAAAGATCCACAGCCTACTCTGACCCGTTAGTTCACCAAGAGCTACATTAACCTTATGGCAATGGGTTTGACTTGCTTTATAGTTTGTAGTGAGGAGTCTGAAATAAGCTCTTAGAAAAATATGCTCTTTGCTCGTAATTCCTGGCGAATCATAGCTTGCTGTATGCAGATAAAAGGCCATAGGAACATTAGCTTTGAAAAACACTAGCTTATTATTCAGAGGCCAACAAATTGCCTGTTAGAATGATGAAAATGCGTACCTTCAGTGCTTCAGATGGCCTACTACCATGGCTTTTCATTGTATAAGCCAGTATTCTGCTATTTCAATAAGTATAACATAAGCTTTCAATGAAGAATAATAAAAAATGAGTACTAGAGGGCAGTAATAAAACATAAATCTTTGTATAGTTTCACTTAGTTCAGACAAAGATTAAACTAATCTGTCACACTGCAACTGTAGAACAATCAAGGCAACTACAGGTAAGAAGAAAATGGATACAGAGATATTGAAACAATTCCTGAAAGTCACAGATGCCAATAATAAATAAAGTAATGCAATTAACATTTAACATTTTAGCTACAGGAAATCTAAAAGAGTGAGTCTCCCCCCAGGAAATTAATTTTCATAACTCGACCTGCCATAACATGCTGTTGAAATTTTTGACTCACTGATTGAAATGTCTAAGATACAGTTTGAAACTATAGCTTAAGTTTTTAAATATGAGTATCAGCTGACACAGATAACAAACATTCTATGCCCAATCATGGCTTCTTGAACTTGGGTTTACATTGATCTGAAACTTAGCTAATAAGCTAAATAATGACACGAAACCAAAAGACACAAACCACTTCCTAATTGAAAAGGACTCTCCTTTTACACTTCCAATTGCCACCAGGGTTGGGTCACGTCAGCAGTCAGCAGAGCTGACTGGAGAAATGGGGGTACAAAGTATAGAAGAGATTTTAAGCCTCCCTCGCTTCACCCAACAAAAGCAGTCCCAGGAACGGCAACCACCTTGAAAGCCATTTGATAATACAGTATTTTTATTGTAACAAAAGCAGGGGTAATTGTGTCACAAATGTCCTTAGTTGTGAATGTACCGAAGAAATATTTTATGAAGCTGCAGGCACAGTGGGAAAGACTTTAAAAAAGATCCTAGCAAAGCCATCACCAAATGAAACGGTATGCTCATCCAAGTATTATTCAAAGCCATCATTGCATAACCATGCAGATACACTACACTGCTACCCACACTTTCTTCGGAGTTCAGTTCAGAGGAAACACTGCTCGAAGAGGTCAATATAAAATACATCTGTTCTTGATCATGGAACGCCGGCACTGAAAGTGTGAACAACACAAGGTAACGATGTCGTCACCAAGGGACGACAAGAATAGAACTCAAATCCCCTGATTCCCGAGCTTGTGTTTTTCACTAATTGTGCTCCTTTCTACTCCTCCGAGTGCATCAAGTGTAAAGCGCCGGCGAAAGGAGTGAACACAAATGAGCCGAGTCCGAGGGGGGACGACCGCGCCGGGGGTCCCAGGCACCGCCACCTTTGGGCACTTTCCTTTTGTTTGGGCTGAGGAAGATGAAAGCAGCCGCGACCACAAACCCTTGGGACCAAGAACTGGAACTAGGTACCGCCTATTGTGGTAACTCTCGCTCGGTCATTGCAGGCCTTTTCTTTTGCACCTTTCCTTTCCCGCCAAACCCTGCCCTTCACCTCGCCCGGTGCCGGTGCCCGCCCGGGTGCACATTACTGCCGGGCGTCCCTGGGACCTAGGGGCGGCTGCGCGGCGCTCGCCCGTCCGGCCGCGACGTTCCAGGGAGCCCCAGCGCCACGGGCGTGTTCTCTAGAACGGGAGCGGTAGTCAAGCGTTATGGAAAGGTGTTTCCACTGTGAGAAACTTAAAGCGGTGGGAACCTGGGCAGGCTCCAAGTCTGCTCTACCGTGGGTCTCTGTGGCGCGTTGCGACAAAGCAACATTAGACAAAAGAAACAGTCTTTTCCTCGGGCTGGGAGCGTCTAACCGCTCGGGCATCCCCGGGGCGACCTCCCTCCGGAGCGCCCACGTTGGCACTTGCCCCTGCGCCGGAGGGACTGAGCTCTCAGACCCTGGGGGCTTCCAAACCGTTACTCCACCCGCCGGGGTGGGGCCAGCCCAACGGCTAAGCCTGCGCAGTAGGCCGGGCCGGTTCCGGGGGTCTGGGCACTACAAGTCCCACAAGGCAACGCTCCGCAGGGGCTTGAGACCCCCCTTCCCAGCCCGGAGATCCCTGTTGCTTGAACACTAACATTAACACAGGCGCCCTTAACACCGTTAAAGGCGACTTTCTCTTGAAATATATAAGCACACTCTTGCTGTGTCCCTCGCGTACTCGCTCTTTCTCCCGTTGCCCAAACTTCCTCATCGGAGTGGGGAGAGCCAGGCGAGAAAAGGAGCCGTACTCCCCGGAGGACAGAGCTCGGCGTCCCGGTCGTACTTCCGCCTTCCGGGCTCCGGAAGGCAGTGCGCACGCGCCGCCTGCAACTCCGGCGCGGTCCACTTCCGCTCCCACTGTGCTCTGCGAGCCGAATCATGGATCACACTGGTAAGGAGGCGGAGGCAATGGGGGTCCCGGTCCCATGCCCCCTTGGCCGGCCTGGGACCGGCCGCCCAGCGGGCATAGGGGGGTTACGCTCGCCCCAAAGCGTTTGGTTGTGGCGGTGAGAAAGAAATCTCTCCGACCTCTCTCCGTACCCGGCAAGGGCCAGCCGCTTCCCGGCCTACCCTCCGGGGCGGTAGCTCCAGCCTCCGTGCCGGCAAAGCCGCCCTTCTGGATCTGCTGGGCGCCGAGCCGGACGGCGGGCAGCGCGGGCATTCCCACTCTTCCAATCCGGGCTCTGTCCTGCGTGGTGCGCCCTGGCGGCTAGATTCCCGTGTCCACGCGGGGGATCCTCGCTGCGCTCTCCGCTCCGGCTGGAAGTGGATGCGCGAGAGTGGGTCGGAGATGTCCTGCTGTCTCCCTGGGCTCTGGGCGGGAGCCGTGGTGGCCACTTTGTGTCGTTATTGCCTCTGTTTCTTTGAGCGAGAGTTGGAGCGCGGAATCGGATAATAGCGTGTGGAATCATGCATGGAGCAGCTTCTCTAAGCCCAAAGCATGTCCCGCGCTTGGCTGAGGTCCTCATTGGTCATTTGGGAACGTAACTAAGGAGAGCGTAAAACGCAAGGCATTTGCATCCTTTCTCCAAGTAAGACTGGCTCCACCCCGTTGTTGTGCGTATGTGTTTGCTTTGGCTTCTGCTTTTCGTGGTTTGTAGATATTAAAGTGTGCTGCAGGTTAGAAGGTGGCCCATGCAGCTATGTTAATCGTATCACAGGGAAAACGACTTTTTCCTGTCTAGACAGTAATTGAGATGTATGCCAACGATAACCAAGTATGGAGTGTCTAGTTTTAGTCCTCGTGTTGGGCTGGCAAACAAGACAGTAGCATGCTGCTCTAGTGGAGGTTACCGGACGTTCTGCTGGAGAGGTTAGTAAAGCGTTGAAAAGCCACTTAAGATAGTTACAAAATGTGTATTTTGAAGAAAGTGAAAGAGCGATGTGTTAGTAATGGTAGAGTGGTCAGGGAAAGTTTTTCTGGAAAGCTCAAATCTGATAGATAAGAAGAATTCTTCCAATAAGTTCAAGGATTCTGAGGAATGGAGAACATAGAGAAGGCCAGTTGGCGAGAGCCTCGTTGGCTAGAGCCTCGTTGGCTAGCAGGAAAGACCCATAGGATGAAATTGGACAGGAAGGCGGGAGTCAGGTCATGCAGGGCATGGACGGCTGCAGTAAATATTTGACTCTTATTTTCAGTGCACCATGCAGCCTTTTAAGGAGCCCCCGTGGCTTAAGCATTGCTTGGGCTGCTAATCACATCAGCAGTTCAAATGCACCAGCTGTTTAGTGAGAGAATAGTGAGGCTGTAGAGACGCACAGTCTCTGAAATCCTAAGGAGCAGTTCTGTTCTGTCTTACAGGTTCCGTATGAGTTGGAAGTGCATGTAGTTAGTAAACATTATAGGAGGTAACACTCAGTGATAGATGCTGATGGTGTGGAGGTATCTGAAGAGAAAGAAGAAATGCCTGGGTTTCTGGCTAAAGTGGTGGGTAGATAATGTGTCTATTATTAAGTTGAAGAAAAACATTTTTAGGAGGAGAAATTTGGACACAAGCATTTGTTTTCAGACTACTTAAATGGGTTGGAGAGTGAGACATACAAGGTTACATTTCTATGTGTCTAGTGGTGCTAAAACAGACTTACCACAAATGGGTGGCTTAACCAACAGATTTATTCTCTCACATTTTAAGAGGGTAGGAGTCCAAATTCAGGGCACCAGTTGTAGGGAAAGGCTTTTCTCTCTCTTGGCTTAGCGAAAGGTCCTTGTCTCCTTTCCACATCTTTAGGTCTGGTATCCATTGGATCTACTTGTGTCTTGGCATCAACTTTCCCCTGATGCATTCATTCAGCTTCTTGCTGTTCTTTCCACATTGTCAGTGCCCCCCCCCCCCTTTTTTCTATTGCCTTTTCCTTTTTGCAATATAAAAGATGATGCAGACCTCACCCGGGGGGAACTCTCCTCCCGTGGCATTAGGATTGTGACCTGATCACACCCTCACATAACTGCTAGGCCACTGAGAAACATGGCCCAGTAAAGTGGGCATATTTGGGGGGTACCATTCAATCAATGACTCAAGGGGAGAAAAGCTATCAAATAGATAATTTGAGATACTCTGTTGGTGATGAGGCAAGATAAATGAGAGGCTTCAAAATTTTGTGGAAAATGGAATTGAAATGTAATTGAATTTTTCCATGAATTCTTTGAAGCTCCTTTGTATTTGAAAATCAGTAATTTAACAGTAATATTTTTAGGCAGGGGGTATGTGTGATACTTGAGAACAAGTATAGAAAAGGTTCTAGAACCAGACTCTAAGGAACGCCAACAAACAGAACTTGGGGATCTTGTTAAGAGAAACAAACCTTTTTGTTCTGGGCTTTATATGTTTAGATAGTAGATTCAAAAGGAAATTGTACAGTATGGTGGAAATTTGCATATAACATATGGGTATGTCCAGATTCTCAGTAAAGCAAAAAAAAGGCTCCCAGAGCAATCCCAGAGAGTGGATTTTGCCTTGGACTGCTGATCACAAGGTTTGAAACCACCAGCCACTCTTTGGAAGCAGGATGGGGCTTTCTACTCCCATAAAAATTTGTATAGGAGCAGTGCAACTGTGTCCTTTGGGATTAGCTATGAGTTGGAGTTAACGAGAAGGCAGAGTCTGGTTTGGCGAGTCTGCGGCAAACTAAGGTGGTAGAGGCTGCAGGTTCTTGACACTAGTGCTAGGCTGTGCCAGCAGCAGAACAGGTGTGTGAAATGAACTTGTAGCAGTGGAGTGGTGGTATTCTCAGCATTCACAAACACAAATAGCACCAGGAGTCCTTCGGCTAGCTGAAGGACAGCACTGGGCAGTTAATTGTTTTCAGCTTTCTTTTAAAAAATGTGTTAGGAAGTCACATGGCTTTAGAGCAGGAAAGTCATTCTGCCATTTCTACATTTTGCTTATTACATTGCTTCTAGATACTGTTACAGGCATAAGCAATCAGAAGAAATATATTGCTCAACTTGTTAGGCTGTTAATGAATTGTTGTTACAAGTTAATCAAGTTGGTTGGAATTATTTATCCTAACAGACGTTTTAGCTATCCACATACAACCTTTTTCATTATTTTTTTGATCAGTTATTATAAAATGGTATAAAGTAGGTATGAAGACATTTTCAGTTATCATGAAGGACCTGTTTTGAATTTTGTTCCATATATTGTTCAGAAATGAACGTGAATTTTACATGTGTTTGTAAAAATTAGCCTTGGAGTTCCTTAAGGAGTCCCGGTGGCACTGTTGGGTAAGCATTGGACTACTAACTTCAAGGTTGACAGTTCAAACTGACCAGCTGCTCCACGAGAGAAAGACGAGGCTCTTGCTCCCATAAAGATTTATAGCCTCAGAAACCCTATAGAGCGTGGCTAGGAATTGGAATTTATTCGATGGCATTGGGTTTGTTTGTTTTTCTTGGGGTTCCTTAGTACTAGTTTACTACTTCCAAACGAGGGTGTACAGATTTTATTTCGGTCTGGCCCTGAGTTTTGAGTGCAATTATTTCTCAAAGTGTAATACTAGCCTTGCTCAATAACTTGCCATGCTGAAAACTTTGCACTAATTAAAAATTATTTGCGTTTTCTATTTTAGGACATTTTCTTTTTTGGCCTAGGTAGAGTTGAGCCATTTCTGTTATTATAATGTTTTTATATACCTGAGTTAAATATTTTCTGTATTGTAATATCTTCATATATTTGGGAAAAGGTGGCTCTTTAGCTTTTAAATGGAGTAAATTCTATGAAATAATGCTATTCACAGAGTATGAATAGTTTATTTCATGATACATAAGCAGGGAATTTTAGGAACTAGAAAACACCAGTTGTCTAGAATAATTGAATCTAACGGAAATCTTGTATCCTCTGAAACTGTAACTTTTTATTACAATGTTCACAAGAGTAACTTGGTTACATGTGTATCTCTAGAATGTACAGCCCTGTTGTCTGCATGTTTTTAATATTAAATTGTATCATTTTTACTATTATATGCTTCTTAGAAAAGCTATGTAACATGTAAGGGAGTAATTACCTTCCTGAAAACTAATGCCATTTAATTTTGCCATTGTCACTCTTTTTGCACTTGCAGTTGTATTGCTTGTCCTGATGTACAAGCAATACAGTGTAGCTTATTTAGTGATTGCTGACTTTATATGCTTTCTGAACAGACATAGAGATTGTTGTTTTTAGGAGCCCATGAATCACTTTTGACTCATGCAACAGGAGGAAACACTGTCTGGTCTGGCGCGATCCTCACAGTGGTTACTGTGTTTCTGGCCATTGTTGCCACCCTTATGTCAGTCCATCTTGCTGAGAGTCCTCTTTATTCCTGACCCTCCACTTTTCTGAGTGGAAAATTCAGCTTATACACAAGTATATTTTTTGGTCATCCTTGCTCCTTTAGGAACATTCTGGCTATACTTGGAGATACAAGGATCATTTTTCTTCTTTTCCTCCTCACTGTTATTCTTTTTTTTCCTTTTCTTTCTCTTTTAACTCTTTTATTGGGGGCTCATACAACTCTTAGAATCCATACATATATCAATTGTGTAAAGCACATTTGTGCATTTGTTACCCTCATCATTCTCAAAACATTTGCTCTCCACTTAAGTCCCTGGCATCAGCTCTTCATCTCCCCCTCCTTCCCCACTTCCCCCCTCCCTCATGAACCCTTGATAATTTATAAATTATTATTTTGTCATATCTTACCTCACTGTTATTCTTAAAAACCTTTGTAGTTTCTTTAAGACAGAGATTCATGTCTTGGATTCATGAGGGTTTGATACATCTATAAACCCTTGTGGAATTAAATAACACATTTGGTTCATCTAGCTAAGGAGAGAGTGTATAACTGATTAGTTTCTTAAAGGTTTCTGTGCTTTTAAAAGGGCTCAGAATCATTGCTTTAAGGGTTTCTGCAATATGAAGAAAATAATTAAACTTGAGTAATTAATAACATTTAAAATCAGAGTGCAGATCATTAACTCCTGATAATGTTATGTACCTATATACTCGAATATAAACACACCTGAATATCAGCCAAGGCACCTAATTTTAACACAAAAACGGCATTAAAAATGTGCTGAAAAACTTGGCTTATACACGAGTATGTAAGATATGTTGCTTTCCTAGTTAGGGCAGAAGAGTCTTACAAAAGCATAGTAAAAGAAATGATAACTCTATTGTTTGTTTTTCACGTAGATAATGAGTTACAAGGCACTAACAGTTCTGGATCGTTGGGTGGTCTTGATGTGCGCAGACGAATTCCTATAAAGCTCATCTCCAAGCAGGCGGCGAACAAAGCCAAAACTGCACCTCGAACTCCGAGGACTGTAAGCAGGATGCCTGCAAAGACGCCGACTGGTGATGAAGGTAAGTTACTTGATAGGTCCTGCAGCCTTTGTGTTGTCTCGTGTGGTCTTATTGATCCTCTGTTCATCTTTTTGTTTGACCTCTTATTTTTGCATGATGTACTATTCTCTCTCTGTAGGGATGTTTTTGGCTAAATTTTGTTGAAAATAGCATTGCTCATTAGTTTTTTAAAAGAGCTAAACAGTTCTACAGAAATATATAACATTAATACCTCCCTCCCCATAGTTTATCCCCACAGGTAGTTTTTTTCTAAAGTTTTGAAATATAGAAATATTACTTTTTATATATAATTGCCCCCCACCCTCCCCATTGGAACATACATTTGAGATTTTGCTACATCCCCAAACCTACTGCTGTTGAGTCAGTCCAACTCACTGTGACCATGTGTAGAGTTTCCCCGCCTCTAACCTTCGCAGGAATACACAGGCCCCTCTTTCTCCCCGGAGCTGTCCCGTCCCTAACTACCAGCATCACCAGGGCATCCTGACCCTGTCAATCACTACTTACAAGTGCATTCTATTTTACAAAAGTAGCTTTACAGTATTTCATTCTGTAGATGTATTGTTTACCAGCATTTAAAACTCTTACGTGACTCAGTAAACAAGACGGTCATCTCACTGACAAATGGTTACATTCTGACGTATGTTTTTGTTTTGCTTTCAACTCATATTCACTAACCTAATGAAAATATCAACCACCATCTGTAATGGAAGTATACTTTAGAGATTTAGTTGTTAAAATTTACCAGCACATCATTGCTTTATTCTTTTATTTTACTATCTTCGTAGGCTGAACATTTTGCTTATTGATTTTCATTGTTGTCTCTTGTGTAAAATGAATTTATGCTTTTATATTTTATTTTTCTAAATGTTTTGTTGTGAATGGGTGAAGGTTTATAGCGTAGTTCATCGGTTTTACATTCAACAAGTTAAACAAAGTTTGCTTCAACGCACCCATTGCTGTCCCCTCATTGAATCACTGCCCTATCCCACTTCCGTTGTTTCCTCTTCCTGATCCTCCTCTCCTCGCCCTCTGAACTTTGTCCGTGGGTAAGTGTTGCCCTTTGGTTTTTAATGTTGATTATTCTAACATGGGGGTGCATTCTGTTTCAGACCTGAAGTGTGACTGAGGGCCATAGTCATGGGGTTTTCCACCAGTCGCTGGCTGACCGGTGAGCCAGGCCTCTTTGATGATTTTGAGTTCTGTTCCACATTTTTCTCCAACTCTGTCGAGGACTTGCTTTTCGTAGGTGATAGTGGTAGCCAGACGCCAGCCAGAGTTCTTCTCGTCTCAGGGTTGTGGTGACTGATGTGCACTTGTTCCATCAGTTATTGGACTAATCGTTTCTATATGTCTGGCAATTTTCATTACTCTTCTGTGCTCTGGACAAGGAGAGACCAATAGTTAACACCTTTTGATGACTGCTCCCTGGAGCTTTTAAGTTCCAATTGCTACTCACCAAAGATGGATATAGAACATTGTCTTTGTGGATCATGTCATGCCAGTTGACTGGTGTCTTCAGAGATTATGGTTCTGAGCCCTGGGGCTTAGTGATTCATTGCCTCAAGCTCCTTGGTTAGGTTGGAGAAGCATTCATAACTCTGCCTCCTGTGTGCTGCACCACATTCATGTTTACTGCAAAGGTAAATGTACACATACAAATTAATACACTTGCCAAGCCTATATATGATAGGGTATCCCCCCTTGGCCCCACCCCCCAAAAAAAGGAAAACAAGCTGGGCTCAGCAGAGATTTTTTATTACGCATTTTATGAACATAGAGCAACTTGCTGTGAATTAGTGCGCCCAGCGGTGTTGCCTTGGAAGGTTTTCTCTGGTGACTGAATTTTTTTCATAGAAGCAGTTTCACCCAAACCTTATTTTTTGTGATGGCCAATTTAAGAGAATAGCGTGCAGCTGTGAAATTTTGTTTTTTGCTCTGGGAAAATGCTGCAGAAACTGTTGTGATGTTGAACACATCTTACAAGGTCGGCACTATGGGAAAAACTCAGGTGTACAAGTGGTTTTCTTTTTTCTAAAAAGGTGAAATGTTGATTGATGACAAACCTCATTCTGGACTTCGGTCAACTTCTCAAATGGACGAAAATGTCGACGAAATTCAGGCACTTGTTTTCGAAGACCGACAATGATGACAGACCATTGAAGAGATGGGGAAGTTATCTCCGCTATCGTGGAGCTTGCTGAAAAATCTGTGCCTTGGGTTCTGACTGACAAGGACAAAGAGGGTTGAGTGGAATCATGCTGTGCTCTGAAAGAACAGCTCCAAAGTGACCCACACTTTCTCCCCAAGGTCATTGCTGGTGCCAAAACATGGTGCTATTCTTACGACCCCAAAAGCAAACATCAGCCAAGTCAGTGGAAGACACTATCATCACCTCGCCTAAAAACTCTTCAAGTGAAATCAAAGATCAAGACGATGCTCATTTGCTTTTTGGATATGAAGGGGATAGTGCATTTGGAGTTCACTCCACCATGTCAGACTGTTAATCAATCTTTCTATTCGAGGTTCTGAGAAGATTGTATAACAGTGTGCAACATAGAAGGCCTGATTCATGGCAGACAGGGAGACTTGTTTTGCCACCACAACAATGCACCTGCTCACGCAGCCGTCTCAGTGTGCCCGTTTTTGGCAAAAAAAACCCCCAGCATGCCTCTCTTGCCCCATGCGCCTAACTCACCCTTGTATGTTTGTGAGTTTATTTCCACTCTCCCTCTCATATCTGTTCAGCCTTTTTGTCTATCCAAGCATTAAGTCATAGATCACAGTTGTTATAGGTTTTTAGCATTTTGGGGAGTAATTTGGGCTTATAAGTGTCCTTCACACATTTCTTAGTATCTATACCCTGCAAAATTTGCATGTTGTGAATTAGGGCATTTTAGAACTTGGTGGATAATTTTGCGTGTTAGAATTAGCTCTTGTCAGATTGCTCTTTAAAAGTATTTGTTCATACTTCCTTTAAACATTTTATGGTTTCTGTTAAGTTTTTTATTACTGTGTTTGTGTTATCTTTCAGAGTCTTGCTCGCTACTTGTTCTGACTCTCCCATTTCATACCCATTGCTCAGTTTTATTTTTGGTTACCCATTTTCTCATTGATTTTATGAGTTGTTTGTAAATTAATAAACGTAGCCCTTTTTCATGTACTTTCAGGGTCCTTGAGCTGTACAAATGGTTCACACCCTTAGCTATTAACTGAAAGGTTAGAGATTTGAATACATTCAGCGGTGCCTGGAAGAAAGGCCTGGGGAGCTACTTCACGCAAAGCAGCCGTTGCAAACCTGGGGGAGCACAGTGCTGCTCCGACACACACGGCGTTCGGATTGTTCAGTGGCAGTTGACTTTGCATATTCCCTATTTGTTTTTTGAATTTTGTATGTAACATTTTTTTATGGAGCTGTTTGAAGGTTCTGTGAGTTAGATGTTCAGTCTTTCCCTTTGTGATGTCCAGATTTCATGACATTCTTAAAGAGGCCCTCCCTGTTGACAGTTTTCCCATCTCGTCCTGTAGTATAAGACTGATCACACTCTGGCTTGCAGACCACATTTGGCTGTTTGTGTAACGTTCTGTTAGAGCACACCTGTGCTGACTCACTTCATTATCTCCTGTGGCTGTTCTCATCTATTCAGTCAGATTGTGTGATCAAATAACACACAGTTCCCCAAGAAGTGCTGCATCAGATTCTTTACATGCTGCTGGACAGTTTAATTAGCATAATATGTTTATAAAAATACCTCCTAGGGGGATTGAGAAAATGTGGGCACCACGTCTGACATCCTTTGGCCTGTACCAAGGAGCAGAGTCCAACTCCGCACCAGCCCAAGGCTGATTGTCACAAGGCAGGGGGTCAGACATGTACCTACTGTTTGTCTTTCTGACACCGTCCGCCCTTCCCATGGCATTCGTCTGTTGGGTTTGATAATCCACCTCAGTGGCCACCCAGAGCCCACAGACAGTACTCAATATTATGGGAGTTTATTAGGAAAGGGAACAGGTTGCCTCAAGCCCGAGGTAGAAAACCTAAGGATACAGTCATTGGTCCATAGCAACCCCTCTCCTCAGCCAGCAGCCAAGTCTGTGGTCCTCAGCTTCTTCGTCCTGTGCTCCTTTGCCCATCTGTGTGCCAGGAAGGCTGCCCTCTTTGTCTCACTGCTTCATAGTCCTGTCGCTGCTCCTCGTTCTGTCTCCTCGCTGTTGCCAGCGCCACTTCAGACAGGTATCTCACGCACCCTCCACCGGTGGCTCTTTTTTCTTGATGGTCAGAGATTCACTCTTCCTGCTTCTGGTGGCACTGTCAGGTGAGCTTATTAGACTGCTAACTTTAAAGTCAGCAGTTCAAACCTACCAGCCACTTCTTGGGAGAAAGAGAAGCCTGCCTACTCCCGTTAAGATTTACATTCTCAGAATTCTTATAAAGGTTTACTGAGTTGGAATCGATTTGATGGCATTTGGCTTTGATTTTGGACCGAGACTAAGAAGTGTATTGAGAGAACTTTTCTACAGCCATCCAGTGGTCACAGAGGCATCCTTAAGCATGTTTTGTTTAGAAAAATCATGCACGTATGAAGTAGACCCCTTGTAGCAATAAATTTTGACTTGCCCCTGTTACTTAATCATGTGGGTAAAGTTAAAACTCGTATGCTTTGGGTAATCTGTTTACCAGCTTTTGGGCCAAAAGAGTCATGAGAAGCCTTGCACCTTGGAGAGAGAGATTTGTTCCTCAACTTTAGGTAATTGGATTCTATCTGGAATTCTCATCACATTGCTCCTGTTTTTTGTTTTGTATGAGGTAGGATTTCTAGAAACTTTTAAAAGTAGGCCAGGGAGATTGACCTCATTTGATCTTGGTATTGTCTTATGTTAGGTTACATTAATGTGTATGTTGTGTGGTAGAAGAGACATGTAGATCTGATATGGCTCTAGGCTCGGGATGATAAACCAACGAAAAGTTTTAATTGAAAGAATCAACTAGGTATTGGTATGTTGTTTCTAAAATTGGGCTCATTTGGGGACTGAAGAAGACACCTGCTTTAATCAGTCATAAAAAGACAATCTAATATTCTTTGTTTCATTCTTTTGTAATAAAACGACTGGCAGCATGAGACCACCTTTAAAAAGTTTATTTATTTTTAATTCAACTGAGATTGATTTAGTGCCCACTGACACTATTCATTGGGAGTTCTGGTGGCATGGTAGTTATGTGTTGGGCTGCTAAGCACAGGGTCAGCAGTTTGAAACCACCAGCCAGTACACAGGAGACTTTGGGTTTGACACTTTGTTCTGGTGATAAACAAACCAAATACAAACCTCAGTTCTTTCAGAATTTTCCCTAAGAAGGCCATTTGTTTTGAGATAGTTACAAATTCATATGCAGAAAACAAAGCAAACTCACTGCCATCGATTTGGTGCCAACTTTTTTTTAACAGTTTAATCGGCATGTAATTTACATAGTATACAATTCAATAGTTCAATCATATCAAGGACAATTGTACAATCATTATCATTACTCTATCAATTTTAAACACCCCCACCCCCACCCCCACTCCCGGGTTAAATTGCCTTTAAAATGACTTGTATAATCATAGTCAGTTCTAGTGCTCCCTGCCCCCTCCTGCCTTCATTTCCCACTCCTGAAATCCCCCTCCCCTCCCTATTGCCCACCCATTCTCCCCCGGGCATGCCCTGTCAACCCCTACATCAGTTATTAGCACAATGAATTTACTCTTCCTGGAGGTCACAACCCGGGAAACCCAAGAGAAACAATAAAAACCAAAATGAAAATAAGATGGTAAGGAAAAAATAATAGTACTTAGACCAAAATGCATATAATGACTTAAAGAGAAAAGACCTTCATCAACCTTCCCGAAGCCAGGGAAGAAACACATTTCTGTCATGGAACAAGTAAGAGATACTTGCACCCAGAACCAACTCCGGTTGGGTCTATAGGGAGGTCATCTGGACAAGTATTGAGTTTGATCCAGCATAATCAAGATTTACAGTGGTCTCTGCCTGACAAGACTCTTCAAGACTTGCCTGTGGTTAGTGGGGATCTGCCAGCATCTCAGTCTGACCAGATGGGTTTGGGGCTCCCATGGCCCTCAGCCTTCTACAAATTGGGTGTTCATAATTTTAGCTCTGGTACTTTTCCCTTCACCATATTCAAATTTTGTAATTGTCATCTTTGCATCACACAAGCTGGTGTGCTTCTTCCGTGTAGACTTATTTGCCTCCTCACTTAGATGGCTGCTTGTTTGAATACAAGTCTTTAAGATCCCAGACACTATTCCGATTGATAGCCAGGCATCATCTACTTTCTTCACCAACCTTTGTTGTCGCACTCTTATCTTCTTTGATCATTGCGTGAAGGTGAGTATCGCGCAGGGCCATGTTATCAGAACTAACTGTTCTTGAATTGGGCCTAGAGTTAAGTAGGAGCCCAGGCTCCATCTGCCTGTCCCTGGGTTTTGTACTCCTCAGGTTTACTCTGGTGGTAGTAATATGACAAATTCACAACCTATAATATCAACTGCATCAATAGCCATAAGCCAATCAGCAACCAATCAGAACGCCCCCCCCACACACACACACAAAGAAAAACAGGAAAATCCACAAGAAAGCAAGCTATCACATTTTTAAATAGGAAAAATGGTGACCGTTTTCAAAATTTGTACAGCATACATGATGGTAAACAGTAACATCTTCTATTAGAGGCATCTTGGTCGATTGGTAAGAAGAACCCTTGGTTGGGAGTCTGCTCCAGGCTCTACCACGAGTCCATGTGTTGAGCGATTGCCCGTCTCCATCCTGCAGTGTTTTCAGTTCTGAAGAGATCTTAGTAGGTTGTTGCCCAGCTCACTTTTAATTGACGTTTTAAACTAGTCTTGAGTACTTGTTCTCAGAAGAGCTTTGAAAGGGAATCAAGCGGGCTTTTCAGTGAACAGCCCTGTTTTACCTCCATAACGTCATTTGAGATTTGGAAAGTTAATGAGGACACTTTCTTTTCTCAGAAGGATTTGATTATAATGAAGAAGAACGGTATGACTGTAAAGGGGGAGAGCACTTTGGAAACCAGCGAAGATTTCCTGGTCACCTATTTTGGGACTTTCAGGTATAACTATAAAAATTAAAACTTTTTAGAAGAATGTGTAGAATACATAAAGAAGGTCTAGTATGAACTTTTGTTAGAGCTATGACTTTTAACACACAAACTATTTGTTTACTATTGCCCTCTTTCTACTTTTTAAAATAATTCGAGTAAGGTCAAATGAAGTCAGCAACCAGTAATGACTACTTTAAACCAACAGCCAGTGGCTGTATAGCTAATGGTGGGGGGCTATTTATAGATAATATCAAGAAACCGTATTTCTACTTGTTTTAACAGCTTTTGTAAAATAATAACCACTTTATGTAGACTATAATTGCACTAACATTTTAACTCATTCCCACAGATAAACATCTTGGGTGTAAAGGATGATACACCAGTTCATTTCTGTGACAAATGTGGGTTACCTATTAAAATCTATGGGCGAATGGTAAGTGTAACTCTACTAAAGTTTGCCTTTGTAAATGCAAGGATTTGCTCTGCGGGGAGATTCCGAAATCTTGGTAGATAGGTTTATCATTGTTTTGTTGTTCTTATCGGGCACCAGTGGGTTGATTCTAACTCATAGCAACTCCACGAGCCAGAGAAATGCCCTGTCAGACTTTCTTGGAAGTAAGTAGGAAATAACCAAGGGATGTTCTTGCGTGACTTGTAAAAGAATAACACCAATTCTCAAAAGAAAATAATTTCTTTGGCCTGCTGGATACTTGTTAGCTTACATTTAATACTTTTAATTTATTAAGGAAAAGCATATTTTTTCCTTGCCTTAACAGAATGAAATTGGTTATTAATTTTTGAAGGCCATAATCTTTAACATAAAAACTGGATAGTGTGTATACTTGTTGGAAATGGAACTATAATTGTTACAAACTATTTTGTAAAATCATAACAGTATTTTTAGGAGCCCTGGTAATACAGGGGTTAACCATTACCATAACCATAATCTCTTGGATGGATTCAAACTCACTAACCGCTCTGTGGGAGAAGGTGAGGCTGTCTGCTCCTTGAAAGATAAGTCTTGGGAACCCTAAGGGTCAATTCTGCTCTGTCCTGTGGGGCTGCCAACGACTGGAATTGACTCATAGCTGGGTTTAGTCGATTTTTATGGTTTAACTGTAGTTTTACAGTAAGGATGATTTTTCCTTTCTCAAGGAAAGATAGTTTCATATTTGTTTGAAAAAATTTTAAATAGTAATATCTGTGAATGGTAGAGTGGGGATTATGGGAGGTTTTTTTTTCTTTGTAGTCATGCTGGAATGTAGTACTTAATGCTGTGTTAACATTTTACTGTGCTCTGATTTCTTTTCATTTTTTTGGTTCATTAGCTTAAGAACACTAGGGTAAAATGCTACTGAAATTAAATACAGGAGATATTTTCTACTTGTCTGCTTTGAATAATTTCAGGAGGAACAAAGTAAGATAAAGTAGAGAACTCAAAAAAACAAAACAAAACAAAACCCAAAGAACTCTTCCTCAGGAGCTTTTAACCTGTGTGCCCAATGGATAAAATTTTTAAATTTACACTTCAGAAACTATATGCTAATGTACATTTTTGGTAAAAATGATTAAAACTTTTCAGCAGAGTTTCAAGGGTCTTTGTGACTAAAAGAGGTTAATCATGTCTTTTATAGCATTAGTATTTAGTAAGTGTTCATTTATTGATAATACAATTTCATTAAGTTCTCAAGAGTCACGGGGGGAGCTGAGCCAGTCAGGGTACGATGTAGCAATGATGAAACATGCAACTTTCCTCTAGTTCCTAAATGCTTCCTCCCCACCAGTACCCCACCCCCACTATCATGATCCCAATTATACTACCTTACAAATCTGACTAGACCAGAGGATGTGCACTGGTACAGATAGGAACTGGAAACACAGGGAATCCAGGACAGATGACCTCTTCAGGACCAGTGCTGAGAGTGGCGATACCGGGAGGGTGGAGGGAACGTGGTGTGGAAAGGGGGAACCAATTACAAGGATCTACATATAACCTCCTCCCTGAGGGACGGACAACGGAAATGTGGGTGAAGGGAGACGTCAGGCAGTATAAGATATGACAAAATAATAGTAGTTTATAAATTATCAAGGGTTCGTGAGGGAGGGAGGAGCAGGGAAGGAGGGGAAAAATGAGGAGCTGATACCAAGGGCTCAAGTAGAAAGCAAATGTTTTAAGAATGATGATGGCAACAAATGTACAAATGTGCTTGACACAATAGATGGATGTATGGATTGTGAAAAGAGTTGTACGAGCCCCAAATAAAATGATTAAAAAAAAAGTTCTCAAGGATCTTCTCTGTGTAGGTCAGTATACTTGTAGTTACTTCTTTGGGGAAAATTTTAAGTTCTAATATGTTTAACTGATATGTCTCTGTTTACAGATTCCATGCAAACATGTGTTTTGCTATGACTGTGCTATTTTACATGAAAAAAAGGGAGATAAAATGTGTCCGGGGTAAGAACATTATTACATTGTTAAATAATAAAGTTCATGCTAGAGTGATTTGTAATCTCACATAAACTGGAGACAAGGTATCAACTGTGTAATCAGTGCTCATGTTTCTCACATTCTCCTACAGATACAGCGCAAGGTAGCCGCTCCCAGTTCTCAGATTGGTCAAAATGCCAAAATGTATTTGTCATCATTGTGTTACCACCCAAAACAATCATTTTCTTTTTTTGACAGGGCCCTAGAAGGGTGATTTGAGTGATTAAGAGTAAAAACTCTTTATTATCGATGTGACATTTGGTTTCTTCATCTCGAAAATGGGGTAATAATAATAATACCTCCTGAGGTTGTTAATACTCAGACCTATTGCTGTTGAGTCAGTGCTGACTTATATTGGCCCATAGGGTTTCCAAGGCTATGCCTACATAGAAGCTGAATGTTGTATCGTTCTTCTGTGGAGTGGCTAGCAGATTTGACCACTGACCTGGCTAGCGGGTAAGTGCTTAGCCACTGTGCCACAAGGACTCCATAGATAGGGCTAGTTTGTTCTGGATCCTGCAGGAGCATTCCAGATGGATATATATGAATTTTCCAAATTGAAACACACACACACACACACACACACACACACACACACATTTCCCAGCATATAGCAAACACTGTGTAAATGTAAGCTATTATTTGTTACCTTTGTATCTGATTATTATATCTTGAGTGTCTTAAAACACTATCTGGTATAGATTCATCCCAGTCATGAAGAGATAGAAGTATCGGTTGATATCAGTCTTTTTTGGAATGCTCTTGCAGGATCCAGAAAGAATTAGAACCTTTTTATATGAATTTGGCACCCCAGTAAGGCTTGACAGAAGTTTTGAGAGAGGCTTTTTTAAAGTAGCTATAGGCTAACTAGATTCCTCATGACCCATTCTGTGGGTGATTGTCAAGGATGATTCCTTATCGTGGCATAGGAAAGTTGGCATCAGTGGGTGAGAAATTGATTATTGACAGCTCCTTAACCATAGAATTGCTATGGATTGGAGCTGACTCAGTGACAGTGACCCCTGGCAACTAATTTTCTCTTCCTTCTTTTTTTTAACACCTAATTTTCTTGATGTATTGAAATACCCTTTTAAAGTCATATTCCGTTGAAAGTTTTAAAAATTCTTTAAAAATCTATCCTGTGAGCTTAATGAATACTTCCCCCCCCCTAGAATTATCATTCAGACGTGTTATGAAATTTAAAATGTATATTCACTTACTTTCGTTGTGTTTTCTTAATGACTAATTTTCTACACTTGCTCTTAGCCAAAAAGCCGAGAAACGATTAATGACTGATTTTTTAACACAGTGTACATTAACTTTATGTAGTGAACTTGTTTATTTCAATGGGATAATAGATTTTTGATAGATTTTCTATATGAAAATACTATGCAGAGGGCACTGAAAGATCTTGCTCTTTTGATATAGTGCTGTAATGTTCATACTTGGAGCAAATCTTGTTTTCAAGACAACATATATAACTGCAGTAACATGTATATTATATAATATATCATAATATATAATATATTAATATAATCTATAACTACAGTAAGCATTTTTTTGTTATGACCCATATCTGCTTTAAAACATAAGTCTATCAGGATTACCATCTCCAAATCAGGAAATGAACAGAAAAACAAAAAACTCCCCACAGCAGCCATGGCAATGCTGATTTTAAATATTGTATACTATTGCTCTAAAGCATCACCCGAAAGAAATGATACCGCCTCCTATTGAAACGATCCTGGCTCTTGACTTACCCGTGAATTGGAAGTTAAAAATGAGGCTTGTGCCAAACGGTGTCTAAAAAGAAGGCTAGCTAGTGTCAATGGGAAATGCCAGGCTTTTAGATGGTCACAGTGGTCACAACTCCCAGTCAATGGCGTGGAGCCATTTAATGTGATTTCAGATGGCTTGATGTATCCCATGATACATTTTTATAATATAGTACTTTACCAAGGGACTCATAGTGTCATTTTCATTGTTCCATTTCTTCTTAAAGATACTATTGTAGGAAAGGAGAAATAGATGTAAGTTAGTAGAGTAGACATTTTAGCAACTTTATAGTACAGTTGGAAATGAAAACCCAGAGAGTGAGTGATTTCTCCAAGGTCACAGAGCCCACACTAGACCCAGCTTGTCTGGTGCCCAGTTGAGGCCTCTTGCCACTGTATCAAGCAGACTCTAAAGAGTGGATTACACATAGTGAAATATAAAATAGTATAATCTTATTGAGTCACTAAGGAAGGATAACTTAAATTTAGTGCTCACTATTTAGAAAGACAGGAAGGTGTAATATATTTCAGTAGTAAACCTGCCAGAAAATTGAGAAAGATTGAGTCCTAAGGGCCTCTTACTAGTTAAAGTTTGAATTTAAAATTAAAATGTTTTATTAAAAACCCGTACTATTATAATGATCTTGATCATCTTTGTATTTCTTAAAGTACCTTCTACATAGTGTTTTCCACTTAGTAGTGTTGCTCCACAAATCATGCAGTGCATTAAATACTGCGCGACTCTGACGTCTGTGGTTGTAAGTGATAGGCTGTCTGGCTCGTCCTTCCTGGGTGGAGGCAGCACAGAATTACGTATTTGAGAAAATAGGCTAGATTCTGGGTCTTAGGAAGAATAAAGTCTCTCTTAAAAGTGTACTATTTGATAAGTCCTTGTCATTTATTTTTGTAGTGGAATTTGAGTTTGATAGAAATGCTGATGTTTATAGCTAGCACGTGACGAAATGAGGAAGATTAAAGATGTACTCACAGTAAATATTTTCAACTGTGAACTTCTGCTGTATTTTTCACAACGTTTTAAAAGTAGGTGTGTCTTTGAGATGAAATGTATTATTTTTATATTCTGTTCTGAGTAAATCCCAATTTTTCTCTCCCTTCTAATTCAGTTGTAGTGATCCTGTGCAGCGAATTGAGCAGTGTACACGAGGTTCTCTCTTCATGTGTAGCATTGTTCAAGGGTGCAAGAGAACGTACTTGTCTCAGAGAGACTTGCAGGCACATATCAACCATCGCCACATGAGAGCGGGCAAACCTGTTACTCGTGCTTCCCTTGAAAACGTCCATCCTCCTATTGCCCCGCCTCCAGCTGACATTCCTGACCGCTTTATCATGCCTCCAGAGAAGCATCATATGAGCCATATTCCACCAAAGCAGCACATCATGATGCCGCCGCCTCCTTTGCAGCACGTGCCACACGAGCACTATAACCAGCCGCACGAGGATCTCCGCCCTCCTCCAGCAGAATTGTCCATGGCTCCTCCTCCACCTCGGTCGGTCAGTCAGGAAACCTTTCGTATCTCAACAAGAAAACACAGCAATTTGATAACTGTCCCTATTCAGGATGACTCAAATTCAGGTGCTAGAGAACCACCACCTCCTGCCCCAGCACCTGCTCACCATCATCCTGAATATCAGGGTCAACCAGTGGTATCGCACCCTCATCATATTATGCCTCCACAGCAACATTATGCACCACCCCCACCTCCTCCACCACCGATAAGCCATCCAATACCCCACCCTCCCCAGGCTGCAGGTACTCCTCACTTGGTTTATAGCCAAGCTCCACCTCCACCAATGACCTCTGCTCCGCCACCAATAACCCCTCCCCCTGGACATATTATTGCCCAGATGCCACCTTATATGAATCATCCTCCTCCAGGACCTCCCCCACCTCAGCATGGTGGCCCACCTGTCAGTGCACCCCCTCCTCACCATTACAATCCTAACTCTCTACCCCAGTTCACTGAAGATCAAGGAACTCTGAGCCCTCCATTTACACAGCCAGGGGGAATGAGCCCTGGTATCTGGCCTGCACCAAGAGGGCCGCCGCCGCCTCCACGAATGCAGGGTCCGCCTTCTCAAACCCCACTTCCTGGACCACATCATCCAGACCAGACGAGATACAGACCTTACTACCAGTGATGATAGTATTGTGAACTGAAGAGGAGGTGATGAGGGGAAACCAACTTATATATAGTCATCCTTTAATTAAGCTTTGACTGTTTGGGGAAGAAAAGCCCCTCTTACAGAGGGGGCTATAAAATACTTTAGGGTCTTGTTCTCTAGATGGTGTTAAACCTTGACCTGGGGCCTGATTTCAAAGTACAATACTGTAGTGCAGATAAATGGCTCAGTTGAACACAGCTATGTTTTAACAACTTTTTTCTCTTAGTGTGTAAATTGACCCAGAGGTGACCAGTTGTAATATTATTTCCTGGGGGGGGAAAACTTTTTTTTTCATTGTTCCACTTTCAGAAGTATTGCTTTTGTTAAACCCAATCTTTAGTTTTTCTTGTGATACATTTTGTTAACCTGTGTAAACGGATTAAATTTCAATATGGTTGTAAAAATGCTATTTTTTATGTGAATTTAAGTGCAGCCACATACTGTTTTTTTTAAAGCCTTACGTTTTACCACTAATTTCTCAAAGTACAACAAAATTATAGAAGGCAGGCAGTCCAATGGTGGAAAATGATTTCACATTGTAGGCACTGGGACAATGAGGTACAGGAAGGATACGATACGCCTTGCTTGGAAGCCTTTTTATGTTTAGGCAGCCTCAGGAACACCAGAGTACCTACGGCTTCTAGAGCCAAGCTGCATTTTTGTTTGTGACATTAAAGATCATTATTGAATATTTGGAAGAATACAGACAAAGTACCTGATTCTATAAGCTCCAAGTTGGTAGGGGATGCTACTCATTCAGGTTTGCCCCTGAATGGTTGGACTGGCATGATTCATCACAAGTAACCTGTGAACTGTTTAAGTGGTCTCTGGGTGCGGTGTGTCTTGCTCTGCGCATTGTTAGAACCTACACCGGACTGAAGAGGCTTGATACAGTTCCTCTCTTCATGGTAGAATTTGATCCTGTGTTCAAGCGGCTTGTTTATTGAGTTTCAACTAAAATTAAAATATCACAGAGGAATTGGTATATTAATGAAAGACATTCTCTTAATCACAAACTTGCATTTGCTCAGGTTTCATTACTGTATGATACGTGATTTTTCCTTTAACTTGAAAACTTAAATTATGATTTCCTGAAGCTTGGTTGGAGCAGTCTAAACTTGGAATGTTTTAGAATGACGCTGCCGGTGAAGACTACCAAGTGATTTTGTATTGGAGAAAAGTTCTTACTAAATTGTGAATTTCAGTGCTTTATACGGTGCCTTTAGAGTCAGCTTTTGCATTATAGGGACTGTTTAATAGTCCAGCTAAGGTAACCACTTAACGGTTTATACAGAACTCATGTATAAATTGATACTCTTGGGATATTGTTATATATCCTTTGACTAAACCCCTGTGAAGGATTTTTTTCCCCTCCTAAAATGGTGCATAACATAAACACGAAATGTATAGGATGCAGCTTTCATTTATAAGATAGTTTGTAGTGTGTACATTGAGAGTATTTTTTTGGCCAAGGATCACCTGATTGCTAATTTAGCATTTTCCAGTGTCAGGGACAGGCAAAGCAAATCCCCATCTTGAGTCATTAGATGCAAAGGCATCTATCTCTGAGCTTAGAGCTGATGTTAGAAATAATAGCAATGGTCATTTCAACCTTTGACCATCCCAACATGACCAATTCACTTTTTTAAAAAGTGGTTTTTCCTACCTAGCAACTCAAGAGTCCAATGTTAATGCAATATTTCTAGTGAGTTCCAGTTATTAGAAGCATGGGAATGAGACAGTGTGAAATGGTGGTAGGGAATGCCACTGTCATGTTACTGTAGGTACTTGGACTGGTGCAAACGCGATTTGCTTTCATGCCCCTGTTTAGGAGCTGTTAAAACAGTACTGCTGGAAATCCAATTCCAGGCTTTGTGTCATGAAATAAGGAACTAGCCAAATTCACACACGAGACCCTCAACGATGAAGAGCTCTCTTGTGGTTTTGAAATTCACTAGGGCTACAAGTGGTGTGGAGCCCCTTAGCACTCTTATGTATTAGACAGGAAACCCAGTATCATGATAAAAGCCCACATTGCAAGAGACAGGCTTTAAAAAAAGACAATTTGTTTCCCGTTAGGTTTGAGAAATCTTTGTTATGCAGGGATACATATCAGATGAATGTTAATAGCAGACAAAAGTTTAAAATGGTATTAGACTTGAATTGATGAGTTTGTTTGAATGAGGGTGGGTGGGTAGAGGATACTAAAATTACTGTTAGTGTTTCTGAGGAAAAAGATGTGAATTCCAACCTTATTTCAGGGAAGCCTTTGAAGCTATGATGGACATAAGTCTAAATTCAATGTATGTATGTTTCATTATATTGCTCTTAAGACTACTGAGGTGGCAGTTTAATTCTTAAAAACAATAAAATGGAAGCATAAATACTATTTTTGCCTAAATGAATTTTTACCTCATGGTGACACTTGGCAGAACACAGAATTTTCCATATTTATGTTGCTTCAACTTTCTACAGGAAAATTAGATCCCTGGCTTGCATATTACAACCCTCAAGTTGAGTGTTTCTTTTTGGCATATTTGTTCAGAGTGTAATGTGATGACGGATGGATCAGCGTCAAGACCATAAGAAACAGTACTATACATCCATATTGCCATTTAAAACTTTTTGTTTAAAACTGTTGTGTAAGTTCTAATTAGGTACTCGGAAAGAGAAATGGAAAAAGTATTTGAACATAATCTTAAAGCTTAAAGTAAGTGACTATTTGCTGAGCGGCATAAAACTTTGTCCTGAAGAACTGGGGTAGCCTCTTTCACCCTTTTGAGCTAGCCTGTCCTGTGAGCACATGGACACCCTCAGGTACCAAGGACAGAGCCAGATCTTCTCAGGTAGATTAGCCAGCAAGCTTATGGATTGATGTTAGAATAGTCACAATCATACTCGAAGAGTCTGTTCTGATTGGTAGCATATTTATTTTTCTTTGCTGGCTTGTTACTGTAATCTGTTTATTTTGTGGTCCACACACCAACGGAAAACACCTACATTTCAAACTACAGTGCCATCACACACAAACACACATCGCTATCCTGAGAAAAAGTCAACGACTTATGTGACAGATGTTCTAAGCACTTAATCATGCACCATTCTCAAGAGACCATCAATGAACATTAAACACATGTGAAATGTTACAAATACGATACAATTGCTAGGTGTGCCATTTTATATAGTGTCCAGGGGAGAAGGCTACATTGGACCGGTGTCGATTGAACAAAGTTTTGAAGTGGATGAAAGAGCCCTGTCGTCAACAAGTCACCTTTCTGAGTTGACGGCCCAGCTGGTACAAGGACTTTGAACTGGATTATACTTGGCATGTTTGAAGAACAGGACTTCTGAGGAAGGAGTGAGACAAGAATAGTAAGCCTTCCGGGTAAGGAGCGGAGCGTGGAGGCCACGAAAGGCCGTGTAGACTGTTAGAAGGATTTTGACCTCATTCCAGTGGGCGTGGGAAACTGTCCTGTGGGTCTGAGCAAGAAGCAGAACGCCCTGGCGCTGACAGGTCAGAGGAACCTGAAGGCCAAGAGAGAAGGGGGATGTTTCTGATCTACACAAGACCTGCTAGATGGGTCATTCAACGGGTCAAGTGGTGGCAGTATATAAAGTGAAACATCTGTGTTAGAGGTGGGGACATAAAAACCAAGGAGCTTACTTTCTAGTTTAAATTCTTAAATATCTTTGTCAAGTACACTGACCAGGGGGGAAATGATTACATTAGAAAAGATAATTAGCAACACTGAGCTAAAACCACATAATCTGAACGAAAGAGAAGTGTTCAGTTTTGTGTCGGAGCACTGATCTATTTGCTAATTGCTCTGCTGGTATACTGTATCCTGCTACCCCGTTCCTGGGTGACGTTGGGACATACCTGTAGCAGCAGCTGTCGTGTTCCCGGGTGTAGTTTAGTTAGGTCCAGGGACGTTACCGGTATTTAGACAGACTCGTTTCTTTTGGGAAGTAACGTTAATATTTAAGAGCTTGAGCTCTGGAGTTAGACTGTCTAGATCAGCAGTTCTCAACCCGTGGGCCCAACCCCTTTGGGGGTGGGACGGCCTTTTCACAAGGGTTGCCTAATCCGTAACAGTAGCAAAATGACAGTGATGAAGTAGCAATGAAAACAATGTTATGGTTGGGGGTCACCACCACATGAGGAACTATGAAGGGGCGGCGGCACGAGGAAGGCTGACAGCACTGGTCTGGATGGAATTTGGGCTCTCCCCCTTGTAACCGTAACTGACAGTGGAAACTGTATTTGTCTCTCTCAAGCTTTGCTTTGTCTTGCTTTTCTGACAAAATGGGAATAATCCTGGTGCCTCATATAGCTGTTTTGAGAAAGACGTGCGTTCTAGACAGATGAAGGGCTTAAAAAAGGATCATGGGAAAATCCCCTTGCCTTTTGATAACTGCTTGTTCACAAATATTGAAAGCCCCTCGTATGTTAAAGTCTAGCCAGTGAGATTTCCTGCCAGTTTAGAGGTGAGGGGTACAGAGTGCAGGAAGGTGGACTTGGCATCAGCTGAGGTGGGGGAGGTGCTGGCAGAGCAGAGGAAGGGGAGATATGTTGAGGCCATGTGGAGATAACAAACTTTATGAACCGATCCAGGTATTCCTGTTCACACAGTGTAGGGTCAAGCTTGAGTGTAAAACATTTTATTTACATTTTTAATTGCTAAGTTATGGTATTTAAGCAAGGGTATGTGTCACATTCTTAAGGAATTATTAGGACACGATTTTTTAAGGATAAAGTTACTCATGTGCTAAGCTTTCATACATCCTCTTCCCAACCTGTCTCCCAATTACATCGTAGTGTATCATTTCCCTGTGAGCCTTACTCGATGCTGTAGCTTTATTTTTATCTTCCAAGATGGTCTCTTACCTGCTTCCTAAATCAGAGACCCAGTTTTTGTCCTAGTCATTTTCCAGTATTTGCTGCAGGGTGAGAGCAGGCCCACGTGTCTGTTAGCCTGCAGGCCTCGGAGGGAAACTGTGGAAGGGTGAGGATCAGTCAGCCTCTGAACTGGCTGGCTGGATGTCGATGTGGTCAGAGGAAGTGGAGTGCTTATTCCTGTTTCATGTTGTTTCGCTTGGTAGGAAAAATGGACGGGTACTTTTGGGAAAATGCAGGCATCGGTGATAGTCTTACATAAGACTTACTGTGCTAAAGCCAAATGGATCCATTAAATAGACTCTTGTGTTCCATTTCCACACCGTGCCCTTTATAGAGGAAGAGCTGGACACAGTTAGGACATTCTGTGTAGATGTGTGTGTTATTTCCACATCCTCCCAAAGTCTATAGGATGCACGAAACTATAAGGTGGCCACCATTCAAAAAGTTTTAAGAAGCCCTGTTATAAAAAGTGCTGATTCTCAAACTTTTGAGGTTCCTAAGCTTAATTGGCCTGAAAGAAAAGAAATAACACCTACTTGGCATTCCTCTGACAATTAGAAACTTTTATATGGTAGCCGATAATCCAGCTCAAAGTGTATTGTTAGGTGCCATCTAGTGGGCATCGACCCATAGCGAACCTGTGCACCATAGAAGGAGCCCTTCACAGTCCTGGGCCATCCTCACAATTGTTCCTGTGCCTGAGCGCATGGCTGCAGCCACTGTGTCCATCCATTCAGCACAGCTTCAGAACATACAGTGTGGCTGCTGTGTTTGCTGCAATCCCGCAGGTGGCAGCGTCGCCCACTGGGGGAAACACTGCTCTAGTTCTTCATTAAGATGGGAGGGGAAACAGAGTTGATACCAAGGGCTCAAGTAGGAAGAAAATGTGTTGAGAACGATGATGGCAACAAATGTACAAATGTGCTTGACACATGGATGGATGTATAGATTGTGATAAGAGCTGTATGAGCCCCCAATAAAGTGATTTAAAAAAGGGAAAAAACAGCTGCCATTGGGTTGATTCTGACTCAGAGTAGCCCCATCAGAGAGGGCAGCACTGCCCTTGTGGGTTTCTGAAACTAATTCTTCACAGGAGTAAAAAGCCTCATCTTTCTCCCATGGAGCAGCTGGTAGTTTCGAACTGCTGACTTTGTGTTAGCAGGTCAGTGCATAACCCACTACAACACCAGGATTCCGATAGCTTCATTGGCTTACCCAAGGTTCATCTGAAGAGGGGAGAAATTAAGTATGTGAATCTAAAGCTCGTTATAAATAGAGCACTTGGATCGTGTCTAAAGACTGGCCACTTCAGAAAGCTGGAGTGAGGAACATTTCGAATGTGGGCCCAGACGTCTCATTGCAGAGGGTTGGCTGGGAGATGCTCTCGAAGCATGCTTTCAGAGAGAATCCACAAACGAGCCGTTTCCAGACGGCTAACAAGAGACACCATGAAACAGGACATGCATGCTGTACGACTTTTTTTTTTTTTTTTAATGAAGAGGTCTTCGTAAGAAGTGTGCCCGTGACAAGATGGGAAGCAGCGGTGTGAGGCCAGGGCACAGTGGGCATGAAGGGAGTGAGTCGGCTGGAATTCTACAAAAATACACCTACACAAAACTCCCCCTCTCTTTGGTAAGTCTACAAGATTAAAATGAAGAGTATTTACATAAGTTTATACTAGATATGTGAAAAAAATACACCCCGCTAGAACAATCTCGTTCCAAAGTTTGAAACATAATTCTGTGAAATAAAAATATTCTTCATACAACGTATGAACGTATCAATAACTTCTCTGGAGACAAAGTGCTTTCTATGGCGGTCAGATGAAGAGCACTCGGAACTCTCTTGCTTAGAACTGCGTTTCCACGGGTACCTGGAAGGAGACCAAATGAAAAGGTAAAATATTGGTTAAGTTGTAACTTTTTTCAGTAATCGTTTTGTGCATTTAAAAGGAGTAAATCTGGTCACCCATTGAATTAGGAGCCGGAATTTACCATACTCCTCTGGTCATATTTTATCTTCTTTTTAGGTCATATTTTATCTTCTTTTGCCACTTGGTTACCTCACGTCATGTGATTCTGTGTACATGGTGGTTTTAGTGTCTTTCAAAGGGCTCATAAAACATAACCAAAATAACAATACACTCTTGTAATAATTTATCTTTGCATTAGCTTCAGGGGCCACACAAGGAACTCCAGGTGCCTCTGACATTCAGCATCTGCCTGTATCACCACCGAGGCCTATACACCTGTAGGTCTTCCTGTTAGCTTCCTCTAAGGCATGTGGCTGGGGTTAAACGTTCTCTCTCGCTCTCTCTTCTCAAATAGATGAAACAGATACAAGATCACAAAAACTTCAAATTCTGTTCAAACGATTGACCCTAACGCTCTGATGTGAATGCTGTTCTGCTTTATGCCCCCAAACTTGGCAGTTTTGACTCAACGACTAGAGAGCGTTTCTGTTCCGAGGTTCCTAGTGGGTGCCCGGGCACCATGGCGCACCAGGTGGCCGTGGGAAACAGAGGGGCTTTCGAAGACTCTTCTTTCCACTCAACTGTATGTAACGTTTTGGAATGTCTTTTATCAAAGCTGCCCCAACTCTGAGAGCACTCTTGATAATGGTCTGGGGTTGTGGGAGGCATCTCTTCCTATAAAATTGAAATGCTTCCCGCTGTTCTTGTTCGTCTTGAGCTGAGGGGAGCCCTGATGGCACAGCGTTAGGCATTGGGCTGCGAACCTCCTGAATCATTGGTTCAAGCCCACCAGTTGTGACGTGGAAGGAAGAAGAAGCAGTCTGCTTTTTGTCAAGTTGTACAGCCTTAGAAACTTTATGGGACCATCCTACTTGATCTGCAGTGACCTTGTGATTGGAATGGATGGTAGTGAGTTTGGTTTTTCAGTCCGCTAACAAAGAAACGCCACCAGCCACATCCCCTACTTGGGAGACAGTTTTGAGGTGCAGTTATTAGTACCCTAATTTCATTAGTCTTTGACCAAAGGTTACAGGTGGTAGAGGAGAATGGATGGAGCACAGGTCTTGGTATGAGACAAATGTTGGCTCAACTCTTGTTGATGTTGCTTAGTGTGTGATCTTAAGCAAATTAGCCTCTGTGAATCTGTCTTCATTTTCTTACTTGCAAAACCAAGCGGCTGTCTCTGTTTACTGTTGTAACGACTAAGAGGATATAATGTAATGCGCCTACCACATACCTGACCAATAGCACCTACCCCTTTGGACTTGCGATCCTGCTTCTTCCAAATTAGAGACATCGCCTAACAGGATGGAATATTCCCAATGAATGTGCTAGACTCTCATAAGCAATCTGGGTAAGTAATGACTTGGCCACTCATTCTAGGCAGGAAGGGGAGGAAGGGGGGAGGAAATCGACATGTACTGTTGGGCGAGGCGCTATGCTAAGGCCTTCTGGTGTACCTGGGAGCTGGGAGATGGATGTGGGCTTCTCAGCTCTGTCACTAACTCATCAGCAAATGGAAATAGTAATACTTTTCCTGCTTCTTGGATAATGATAAGCTAGAAAAGATGATGGGTTGAAATCATTTGCAAGGCAAAAAGGTGTTGTGTGTGTGTGTGTGTGTGTGTGTACATATATATATATACTCAGTGCTGTCTGACTAAAGATTGAGCAGTACCTGCCCCCACCCTTTTGGTACTCCAGTTTTCTCCCCAGGGGATTTGCTCCCACGAGGGAGGGGTGCGAGGCTTCCTGCAGCACGTTCCGGGGAAGAGGCCTCCCACTTTCCAGGCTGCTTTTGTTGTGGTGTCTGGGTAGAGGATGTTGATGAATCTTACCCGACATTCCCGATTACGCAGGCTTCCGTTAGTATTGACAGTAAAGTCACAATTCTTTTCTTTTTCCTGAGGGAAACAGAGTGGAATTGTGGGTTAGGAAACATTTTTGTTGTTGTTGAAAAACAAAGGGAATGTTAAGAAACCCAGAGGACTGCACAGATATGCAAGTCCCTGAAGAACTCGTACCTGACTGGGACTGGATTTTGAAGTGCTGTAATCTTTCCTCATCAAAATATGCAACACCGCATCGTGGATGGTTAAGAAAAATATGGAATCATTGACTTCGTCATCGAAAAATTCACACCGAGCGAGCTTCTCAATGAAATCATCTGAGAGGAAAGGCAGAATAGCGTTTAAGAAGAAGGAACTGGCTGCCCTTCTCTCTCTGAGGCTGATGACTTTCATTTCTTTTTACAAATATCCCTTTCATGGTCGGTTAACTCTTTGTGGGCTGCAGTAGTCCAATTCCAGTATCTCTGTACAGGGCCCTCTGGAACCAAAGGGCATCTTTCTAATAAAAACACAGAGTTAATGCCCTTTGAAAGGAAAAGGAACAAGGCCAAACGAGAAAAACTTGAGTAGCTCCTAAGGGGTGGGGTGGGGGACCCCTCCTTTGTCAGGGATTTAGTGTGTTAATCTCTCTTTGTATTCATTTGAAGCATCAAGTTTGACTTGTTATTAAAAGTGGGGACTTTGCCAAAATAGAACATGGACGGATGGACTGGAGATGCACTTGGATCCTTGCTGGTTACTTCTCTGTAGTCCATGTCCCCAAACGGAGGGGCTGCGTCAGCAAACCTCTCCCCTGACCGCTCACCTCACCTTTGCAGTCATCCCTGAGGATGACTCAAACCAGGGTCCCTGTGTGTCTGCTAGCTGCAGCCTTAGCTGGGATGTGTAAAGGGTCAAAAGATAAATGAGATGTGAGTCTTGGCCTCAAGGAAGATGGAATATGTCTCTATCACTCTGGGACTGAAAAGAAAAGCGTCGTATGAGGAGGCTTTCAAAAATTCATGGGAAACCCCCCCCCCTTTTTTTAAATCATTTTATTGGGGCTCATACAATTCATCACAATCCATACATACATCAATTGTGTAAAGCACACTTATGCATTTGTTGCCCTCATCATTCTCAAAATTCGCTTTCCTCTTGGGTTCCTGAAATTAGCTCATTTTCCTTTTCCCCCCTCCCCCTCCCTCCCCTCTGCCCTCTCCCTCATGAACCCTTAATAATTTATAAATTATTATTATATCTTATCTTACACTGCCCAGCGTCTCCCTTCACCCAGAGAGGAGGTTATATGTAGATCCTTGTGATCGATTCCCCCTCTCTACCCCCCTTCCCTCCCGGTATCGCCACCGTCACCGCGGGTCCTGAAGAAGGCTGATGGCGCCCCTTTCCCTTTAATGATCTTTCTTCGAGCTTTTCGAGGGCAGCGATGAGCCCTCAGCCCCTGTCCGCCCTCTTTTTCTTAATTCTTAAATAATGCCCCGCAGCGGTCAAAAAATCAAATACAGTATTACATTAGACAAATCTGTGTCAAAGGTCCTCTCAAGGTGCTAAAGAGCAAATATGTTACTTTTCGGCCTAAGGTGTGCCAGGCCCCGGTATTTTCAGTCACGTCACATGCATGTAAAGCTGCAATCAGGAAGACCAGAGAAGAGTGAATGCATTTGAGTGACAGTATTGGCACAGACATGAAAGTACAGGGGCTTCCAGAAGAATGGACAAATGTGTGTTGGAAGAAGTACAGTACAGCCAGAATGCTCCTTGGAAGCAAGTCTGACAAGACTTCATTTCACATATTTTGAAGATTTTCACAGGGCAGACCGGTGCCTGGGTCACATCACGCTGGTAAAGGGGAGGGTCAGAGAAGAAGAGGAAGCGTCTCAAGGAGATGGACTGACAGAACGAGTGCCACCAGGGGCCCACACGTAACGGCAGTGAGGAAGACTCAGGACTGGCAGTGTTTCCTTCTGTTGACAGAAGGGTCGCTTTGAGGCGAACTGTCTCCACGGTACTTAACAAACCAAAACATTTCCAATTGATGGTGATCCTGAAATGATGGTCAGAACGTAGAAGTAAAACCACTTACCATCACTTCCTACAATGTACACATCCACCTGGATCCTGATAAATTCTTGCAAAATCTGTTCAAAAGGAGGTACATCTTCCTTAGGGGACAGTTTTACTCGTCGGGAACATAAAGTAAACTATCATGATTATAGCTTATGTGTGCTCCTTCCTTTATAAGTGCCGTGCTACGTTTTGAGAAGGAAATGCCATAGCAGTACCAATGCCGAAAAGCAAGGCTCTACGACAGGAAGAAATGAAAGGAAACAGTCCTTTCTCAGTAAGATGCTAAAGTCCACATTTTCCCAAAACGTTTCATTGTAATTTAGGTGAAGGTTTACAGAGCAGGTCACTTTTTGGTTCCACAATTCATACACATTTTGTTTCATCTCATTCATTGTAATCCCCTCAGGGAAACATCACTCAGCCCACTTCCTCCCTGTGTGCTTCTGTTTTTCCCTTCGTATTATTTGAGTTCTGGCGGGAAATCTGATAGGAAAACGTTTTATCTCAAACGCACAAATAAACTTTGATTTAAGCTTTAAAGTAGGAGCTCTTTAGGGTGATGTAGACAAGAGATTTACAGACAAAATAAAACAATAGCAAAACCTGTGGCTCAGAAATTATCTATTTTCATACAAAATGAACAGATATGTTTAGCATCAGTGTATCAGAATCCTTTTTCCTGGTCTCTAGGATAAAAAAAAAATAGCAGTAGAGATGCCAGTAAGGTTATATAAAGAACAAAAAACTAGCTTGTGCTGTTGACCAAGTTAGAGGATCATTAATACCATTATCATCACCATCATCATCCTCCTCCTCATCAGTAACCTTGTAGAACTTCTGCTAAACACTGAATTATGACTTATAACTTTAAAAAAACACAAATCAGAATTTTTATCTTTTGTGCTATACTACTAGGACCAAAACGTAAGTGTGCGTGTGTGTGTGTGTGTGTGTTGTGAGAATGTAGTCATGTAGGCATGCATTTCCCCTCTTCAGCTCAAATAAACAAAAAAGCTAAAGCAGTTTTGAGAATGATATGATGCTAAGAGATGCTTTAAGGAAACTAAATGAATCCCATCTTATAATTGTGGATCGAGTTACCCATCCTTAATAGTTATTAGTTTAGCTCTTTACCTAGGGAAATTTTGGTAGAAATCCATAAAACAAGTGTGGAATTTTGGAACTGTTGAGTTTCTTTTGAAAACTCTTTTAGGGGTGTTAACAAAGCTATGGAAAGAAAACCTGACTGTTCCAACCCTGCTTATCACTCAAGTGAGACATCGATTCTTTTATTTATCTACTTGTTTTGTCTGTCTCTCCTCCTCCTCCTCCTCCTCCTCTCTCCTCTTCTTATTTTATTTGGATAGAGATTACTAAATAGCCACGTGAAATTTCATCTGCTCATGATGGATGAAGGTGAAACTATTCTATCCTCCCTAGGACCTTTCCCATTTTTTTTTTCTAATATCAGGTTCGTTTAGATACAATTTCCATAACAATTTGAAGACATCACAGAACTGAAATTTGGTAGGAATGTTAGGTCTGTTGTCTGCCAGCAGGTTCAACACCCACTAGGATCATAGTTAGGGTTGCCTTCAAAATTAGATGCAGTCCCATGGGAAATGCAATTTGAAAGAGCTCATTGAACACCCCATTCTCTCCCTAACCCCCTCTCCCACAACATAATACTCTAAGATAATAATCTCCTTCTAATTAAGTTTACATTATCTAAGGGAGCATCCTTCGACAAGTCCAATGTTTAAAAATATGTAGTCCCTGGTCAGTTGTTTTCATAACAAGTAAAGAAATCACCGTTTTGAGACCCCTCATTGAAGAGATGTCCAGAAATGACACTGCCGAGAAGTCGAGAATGAGGCTGTGGAGGCTGATTTTGGGGACCACAATGTTGAGTGGGAGAGTACCATTCCAGTCTATCTGGAAGGGCAGGTCTGTGGTGTTGATCGGCTGGTCCAGTTCTTCGATCTGATTATTATCTAGCTCCTCGTCAGAGTCTTTCACGTCATCCACAGTGCAGATGAATCCTTTCTGTAGAAGGACATAGAAAGCATGCTAAGGGACCCAGAAAAAAAATTGTATATGTCAACGGCAGCCACTGAGTTTCTGAAGCACGGATCCACAGCTGGTTCCAGCAATGGGGTTGTAGACATTTTTCGTTGGTACCTTTCCCAGGAGAATACAAATTGTCAGGAAACTCAAGGGCACCCCATTTAGCAGCATTGGCATGAGAGGACACAGAGGTGCCTGAGTGACTTGGAATTTCATGTAGGGAAACACAGAAAACACCTGGAGCTAGACAGGAACTGAGCTTCTAGTTGAAATGCACAGAAGTGGGACCGAGCAACTTACTGGTGTCACCTGTAGCAGGCCTTTCTTCTGCAGCTTCCGGATTTTCTTCAAAGCTTTATTGCGCTTCCGTAGAATCCGAAGTGGGTTAAAGCCAATCTGAAAAGGCCATTTCTTGCGTTACAATGGGACCGAATGTTCTGCTATGTGCATAGCATAATGTTAATAATTTTAACCAGAATGGTTTGAGGGATTAGGAAAAGCACTCCTATTTGTGATTAAAATTTAAAGTGGTTTAGATGACAGTTGTGTCAGAATTCTGATCTGCTTGGTTCATGTGTGGTTATCAACATCTTAAAGCCTCTCCCTGTGCGCCTAAGATTCACTGACAAACTATCCATCTCTGTTACTTTGTCAGCTCGACATCTGCTTGCATGTTTGGCCAACACAAATCTTAGGAAAGTTTATTTTATCTCCTTTCTCTTTGCTGATAAGGATGGCATCTAGTTATCAGTCTGCTTCTGTATAATTTCTACTATAGTAACATTTTAGGAGTTTATTTTATAGTACTATTGTGTGCTTTGCTTTCATAGGTCTAACACTAGATTTGGGAGTCACTTTGTTTCTTCTTTTTCAAAACAAACATTCTTAAGGATACACTATTTAGCCTCTGAGCACTAAAGATGGGTCAAATTGCATAATCAGAAGATTAGTACTTGCAACATTCATTTCACTAAGTCATTGGAATCCTACTCTGGCAGCAAGTGAAAGAATAAAATGATAATGAACTTAGAATTTTAATAGGCTGTAGGTAATTTTTTGTAGCTTTTTCTAAATGTGAATGTAACGTTCTATCTGCTTCCTGTCCCGATGATGATATCGGCTGATGCAGTGTAGTTTGTCACATGCAACGGCACTTTTGTTACATGAAAGTCAAAGTAATACAGTCGGAGGGGACATCTTTTACGAAACACGTAGTCAGGTGGATGGTCTGAGATTCCGTGAAAAGGGCAGTATATGAAGTCAGATGTTCCGCAGTCCGATCGGATTTTGTAGAAAGGTGCACTCTGGTGCCAGAGCAAAGGCCACATTAGAAAACAACCCGGTGCATGTCAAGTTCTAGCCGTTAGGATTGAAGGCCAAAGCTCTGTGCAGCAGACCCCAAGGCACGTTTTCAGGATAAGTGCCAAGCTTTTGCTTCGTGTTTTCTTGTTGTCCCCAGTGTGCCAGGGGCACTCAGTACTTATAGTTATTTACTGGTAAATATTCACTCCTAACTGCTGCCCCAAATCTCTCCAACGATGGCTTCAGATGCAAAATGTTCCTCTGGTGTTTCTGAAATTGGAGCCCTCAGACTGTCTGTAGATATGCTCTAATCTAAAAGCCAGCATCCCCAAACTGTGTAAGTATCGTTACAACAGAACTTGGTAAAAGCCAACTCCTATCTTGGACCTCACAGGAAAAGACCTATTTCCCACCTACCAACAGGCCCTTGATTAGTCTGAGCTGCTTGGGATGTGGAACAGGAAAACCTGACAATACCCTGACCTGGCTGACATCTGTGAAGCCAGTGACCCGCATGTTAAAGAGCAACATTGGTTTTCCGGGCTTTCAAAGAACTCTCTCTCTTTCCCATGCACACAACGTCCAAACCTTACAGCATCGATCAGTTTCTGCTTAAAGAAATTAATGTTCGCAAAATAGATGGGCGATGGACATCTGAAGATTCTCACTCCTTCCGGCTCGTACATCTGCAAGGTAGAGAAAAAAAGATGAGATGGTGCCCATTCAACTCCCATTCACGTCATTTAGCCGGTCAAAGAGGGAACATCGAAATCTTCCTTACGTCATCATAGTCTTTTTTATTCTTATAGATGTTGCTCCTTCCGACATTAGCCAGGCTGCTGCATTTCGGACTGTTGAGAAAACCGACACCTGCAATCAGGTCTGTGCCTTTGCTAGGCCTGTAACGCTAACCCTGATGTATTGCCCAGCCTATTGAGGAGGCTCAGAATGGGAAAGGTTGGGGAGTCATGCCAGGAGAGGGCACGCAGGGCACACACCTGCTGTGAATCTCCTTTGTGCCTTCCCACACAGCTCCTAAAACCGTGCCTGGCCCCTACGGTGGCCCTGTTTACAAAACATGCCCCTGGGGCTTTGCCATCTTGGCTCTGAGGATGGCAGCGCTTGGGTGAGGGAAGGCGGGTGCAATTTCTGGATGAGAACACAGGCAAGGAAGATGGCTTCTGCCCCTGAGCACTCACTCTGCCCCAGGGTTTGCTATGTCCCCAGGAGAGAGGTGTGCAACTTTGAATGAACAAAAGCATGCAGGAGCACTTCCATACACATGCTCAGAGGTGCCGTGAGCGAGCAGAGCAGACGGGAGAAGACAGGAGGGGCGAGGGAGACGGCCAGCCACATAGAGCTCCCTAAGGAGCCAGGGAGCAGAAACCAAAGGGACGAGGACCTTCTTCCAAACCAACCCCGAGAGAAAGCCTCCCCCTGAATTCGGACTTCTAGACTGCTAGACTGGGAGCAAACAAGCGAAGCGTTCAAGCCAAGAATGATGATACAAAATATGTTCCATCAGCCAAAGATCGACTTTAGCTATGAAGAAGTCACCTCAGTCGCCAAGCTGTTACATTCCCAAGGAGCCTTGTGTGTCGGATGCACCATGTGAACCACAGCGGCAGGGTGGCCCCTTGGTGGTGATGGTACAGCGGAGACTTAAAACTCCAAAGATTCTCAAATGAGTTGTCTGTTAAAAATCAAGGTGGTTTTTTGTAGAATTTTTTTAAAAATCATCTACCAATTTGTCCTACTGTGGTGACTTGTGTGTGGCTTGCAGGGTGGATGCTATGCCACCAATATTTCAAATGTCAGCAGCATCATTCACAGTGGACAGGTGTCAGCAGAGCGTCGAGATGAAGACAGACTAGGAAGAAAGGCCTGGCGGTCTGTGCTTGACAATTAGGGAACGAAAATCCAATGGATCACAACAGAGCACTGGCCTATTTTCTTGCTTTCAAAGAGATGAATCACTGGAGGAGGACACCGCGGTTGGTGACACAGAGGGCCAGCGAGGGCAGGGGGGCCTCGGTGAGAGAGAAGAACAGAATGGCTACAATGATAGGCTGGCACAGGCAGGTGATTGTGAGACTGATGCCAGATCAGGCAACGGCAGGGGGACCAACAACAGAAACGTGGGGGGAGGGAACAGCAGTTGGTGTAAGACAGGAAACTAATAATTCATCATTTATCAAGGGGTCATGAAGGTGGAAGGGGGTGGAGGGAAAAAAAAGAGGAGCTTATACCAAGGGCTCAAATAGAAAGTAAATGTTTAGAAAATGATGGCAACATATGTACAAATATGCTTGACACAATTGATGTATGGATAGTTAAAAGAACTGTAAGAGCCCCCAGTAAGATGATTAAAAAAAAAATCAGGAAATGTTTACTTCCATTGTACATAAGGTTGCCAAGTGTGGGAGCTAACTCAACAGCAGCCATCTATTTATCGATTAGCACATTTCTGTTTGTCTGTCTATCCATCTACCTGTCTATCCTCTTTCTTTCTTTGTGAGGTTTTAGGACAAGGACCCCCGAGAAGGTCTCTACTCCAGCTCCATGCTTTTAAGGTGGGGATACATTCTCATGTTTAACAGGTCAAAGGCCAAGAAAGACATGGGACCCTCTTTGAATAGAGTTACTTCCGGTTTACAGCTGGGCAAACAGACACCAAGACTCCTAAGACTTCTTTGAACTGGTGTCAAAGCAGGAAGCGGACCAACAGCAGGCCTGCTACCTGTCCAGGTTTTCTAAAGCCACGCCATGCTGTTTCAGTGCAGGCCCTGAGGTGAGAGAGGTGGACTGTAACAGCCAATCTCGTGAAAGCCTGTCACCCACACGACTTTCCCAGTTGATCCATCCATGCCCCCCCCACGCCCCGCCCCCGTTGACTCGGGCAGGCCCAAGCCTGTGAAGATGCGGGGCAACAGCAGCCACTCACAATTGGGTCCGGAAGACGATGGTGAGGAGCTGAAAGGCCACGCTGGCCGCCAGGCCCAGACCCAGTCCCAGCACAACGGCACAGATGAAGGTCACGATCCAGACGCACTGAAGGGAAAAGCACACACACACACACACACACACTGCCATTCACTGTGATGGAAGGACGATGGCTCGGGGCCAGAGCCATGAGAAAGCCCAGCCTTTCAGGGCCAGGGGCACATGGAGCCGCACGATCTTGGGCCAGCAAGCCCAGTGCACTGGAGAAGAGACCTGCCTCCGACTCCGAGCTGTGGAGACGGTGCCCCTGTCGACGGCTCCACAGCATGTCTTCATTTCGTATCCCAAGCCTGGGCCAGTTAAAGAAGAGGCTGTGTCTGTCTGTCACAGGGCAAATCCCAGGCCGGCTGCTCTTCACGAAGGCTGGCCAATGAGCTGGTAGACCCTTAGAGGAAGCGCTTGCACATCTCTCTTTTCTTGCTGCTGTGGGGCATCCCGAGAGCAAAACAAATTGATGTAGCAATTTCTGCACGTGCAGTGCGCTTATGGGGATGATGTTTCTGGGAATCATGCACTTCTTCTCACGCCCTGTCTCAGTTGTCCCCACTACTCTTCCTCTTGACCCATTCGTCCAATCTGGTGCAAGGTCTAGAAAAAGAATCCTGGTGCTCAGCTGCTAACCCAGTGGGGGGCAGTGTCCGTGGGAAAGAGCTTCCACCGTCTGCTACCACGAAGACGCGCCGTTTTGAAAAAGCAGGGGGGCAGACGCACGCTCTCCTCCAGGCTTGCTGTGAGTCAGGCTTGGCTGGAGGCCGAGGGTTTGGTGTGGGGGTTCTCTATTACAAGGGAGCCTGCCACATTGGGTATTCTGAGTTCTAGGGATCACCGATGGGGAACAAAGCGCAAGCCAAGCGTAACCTGTGGCTTTCTGCTTGTGAAGTGCTGCAAGACGTGCCCACAGCATTTTTATGCCCCAGACTTTGACCCTGAGAGAGGTCTAGACTCAGATTCTCACAGCGAGGCAGGCTGGGAGAAAGGGGGGGAGCCCTTTGTAAAGCATTTCTTAAAAAAGGAATGCTTAGAATTTAAGGTTTTTACAACTGCTCTGGAAAGGACCCTGATCTTTCTTTTGGAGAACATAAGCAATGCCAACGCCCAAGTTCCCAGCGAGCGTCTCTGCCACACAAAACGCCTGCACAGACTGGGGGCAGATGGAAGAACGTTCTGGATGTACAGGTATCTCACCTTTTTAAATGGAAGCCCCTGAGAATGATCATGAGAAGTACGCAGCTGAAGACTGCCTCTCAGACAGCGGGATGCGCTGTCACCCGGGCTGCACATACTCTTAGCATGTTAAACCAGCAGTAAGACGCCGTCCGACGTCTCTCTTCAAGATGCCATCGCCTCTACTTACACAATCGTACTTGTCCTTTTTCCAGAGCCTTCCTATCTCAGCAAACTGCATCAGCATTCCCTTTAAATTCCCAAGGGCGAGGGCTGCCAGGACGGACTGTAAAAAACACAAACACCAGAGGCACTGCAAGTTAGCCAAATCAGCCACGTAGAAGCAAAGGTGAAGGCCATAGATAAGTGAGACCTTGAAAGGGCCCCAAAGCCTATCACAGGACACACCCTTTTCCGGTGTACAGAGGCCCAACCAAGGCACTTGGAGAGCTGGGCCCGACTCTGGCCTGTCCCCATGGCTGATTTCGTCCCCCGCACAATGGTGGCGGCTAAACTGCCCTTCGTGACGCACAGCATTTGGCTGGAGGAAGGCAGACCTCCCTGAACACCCTCGAGCTGCGTGGGGGCAGGGGGTCTTATGTGAGCAATCGAGGAGCATGCAGTTCTGGGATCTAAATCCAAACCTTTGACAAAGAACAGCCATCAAGCTGCCTCATCTGGTTTCCCGATGTATCCTTGCAATCTCTGTGGTTAAATGCCTAATCACGGCCCCGGGCAGGAGCTGGCTCTAACTCCTGGCGATGCCACGGTGCCGAGCGGAACTGCTGCACTGGGTTTCAGGGCTGTGCCGTCTCCGGAAGCGGATTGCTGGCCCCGTCTGCTGAGACAGACACCTTTGGCTGGATAGGGATGGCTCCTCCTGCAGTTTGTGGTCCAGCAGGTGTTTCCACACGCACATGTCTTGTTGTCAGTTGCCAACTGCTGGTGACCCGATGTGTGTGTGCAGAAGAGAGCTGCCCCCTAGGGTTTCCTAGGACACATCCAGGTCTCCTCTCCCCCAGAGTGGCTGGTGGGTTTGAACGGCCAACTTTTCAGTTAACAGCAGAGCACTTAACCCCTGTACTACCAGGGTTCCTTCCAGATGCACAGAAAGGAGGAGGAGGAATGAGGAGGAGGAGGAGAAAAGAAGAGGAGGAGGAGGAGGAGGGAAAACCCTCGGCATTGCGTCCATCCCAATGCACAGTGACCCTACAGGGCCGAGTAGGACTGCTCCTTAGATCACCCGAGACTGTAAAGCTTTCCTGGAATGGACAGCCTCATCTTTCTCCCATAGGGCCGCGGGTGGGTTTGAACTGCCTTGCAATTAGCGGACCTACACATAACCACAACATCTCCAGGGCACCAACTAGCCTTATAAAGCATGCTAAACAGCACCTGTTAGAAGACATGCATACTTTTCCCTTGCCTTTGAGCATTATTTCCCCCTTGGGCAGTACTCCATATAAAAACCACTGGAAGCAATTTACAAAAACCACAACCAAAAACGTAGGATGAAAGAGTGGTGCGCAACCATAGAAGGGAGACAGAAGATCATTTCACCAGGCATCTAGTAACTGATAGGACGGATGAACTACAAATAATGTGTTCCCAATGCTGCTGATGCTTGGTAGGCACACAACAAACATCCTAGTTGGCCGTCATTGTGGGCTCTGCTGGTTCATATGTTAAAATGAAGCAAAGCAGATCTTTAGCTGAAATGAAGACAGTTCTGACATAAGGTTCTCCTGAGAGCTTACCACATGGATCTTTTGTGGAAGAGATTTGATTAACACCACGGGGAATGTCCTCAAGTGTGTGGCTTATTTCGGAGGGAGCTAGGATTGTAAACAGAAATGGTTTCATTTACTTCTCTAAATGGATCTGGGTTGGACAGATGCCCTGTGCAGCTGGGCAACAGCACCCTGAGCTGCTCTATGTAGTTCTCTAGGTAAGGTGTGTGTGTGTGTGTGTGTGTGTGTGTGTGTGTGTGCTCGCATGCGCACATGCAACTTGTGTTTATTCTTATCGTGAGGCACGTTCTTCTCTTCCACTGGTGATGACTTGCTGACTCCTTTAATGCCATCCATTTTGAAATCAGTAGTTTACTGTACAGAGAACACACATGTTTGGCAAACAGAACTCCTCGCCTTTGAAAACCACCAGCAAGGCTCTTCTGGAAGGACCCCACTGGCAGTCCACAGATCTGGGCTCTGTCAGATTTCAGTGACCGATCCACAGGGACAAAGGGCCTTACTAACAACTCACAATTGGTGTGCCCGATCCTAGCTCTGCGTCCCATGCAACCAGAAAGGGAACAGAGTATTTGGATAATGGTAAGAATGATACAAAACGTAGTGGCTATGACTAACCAAGTGCTTACCAAGTGCCAGGCCCCAGGTAAGGACTTCACAAGCATCCCCTCATTTAATTTTCATAGCAACCTCTGTGAGGTTGATCCGACTCTTTCTCTCTTACAAAGTGGGAACCTGAGGTTCAGAAAGGTGAAATATTTTGCCCAAAGTTCGGCCAGGACTCAAACTAGGCCTGCAGGCTTCCAGAGCCAGTGCCCGTGAACTGCCTCGCCTCTGAACATCGTTCCCACGGGCTGGTTTCCCAGAAGAGGCCTTGGGTGATGCAAATGGCCTCCTCTTTCTGACTCACCTAAAGGTTGGTGGTTTGATCCTACCCTGTGACGCTGCGTCACCTTGAGCTGGAACTGACTAGTTGGCAAGGAGTTTGGGTTGGTTTCCTGGAGGTGCTAGGTTTTCCAGGGTCTCCTGTTGGGATGATTCTTTCATCCAAGGGTTACAGACATTCCAAGGAGCATAAGACTAATCTCCGGCATGTTACGGTGGAGGAGAGATGGGCAGAGGAACATGAGGGGCAGGTGCGACGCTTGCCCCTCTTCTGCGATCTGACAGTGTTGGTCTTGGAGTCAGACCAGGAGCTGGGAACGGGAGGGCGTGTGCCTGAGGACGGGCGGTGTGGCTGGCAGCACCATGCCCTGCAGTCGATAGTGAAGGTGATTGCCTCAACCTTTAGGAGATCCTCACCCAGTCAGTTCTGCAGTGCCAGATGCCTTCCTGCTGAAACATTAATTACACGTGGGGCTACGAACACGAAAACAGCAGGTAGATAAGGTAATTTGGACATCTGAATTCCTAACATTCATAAAATGTTGCCCAAGGGAAAATAAATATTTTTGACCCATCGGGTATTGATGATGAAAAGTTCTGGAGCGTGTAGTGACCTCACTGCCCCGAGTATCGATTGTGTTTCCAGAGGTCAAGCAGTCCTTGAGTGGGGTAAGTTGTTAGCCTGCTTGGCTGCTAACCAAGAGGTGGAAGGTTCAGGTCTGCCCAGGGACACCTTAGAAGAAAGCCCTGGGGGTCTTCTGACAAACCAGTCCCGGAAAAGCCCGTGGAGCACCCTCTCCTCTGACCCATCCAAGGCGTCCTTAGTTAGAGACAACCAGACCAGTGGCAAATGGTCTCCACAGAGTTTAAGAATCAGGATACTTGGCTCATTACCCAAAGGAGAGAGATGTGATTCCCACCCCACGCCCCAAATATAATTTAAAAGTGTGCTACCTTTTGTAGTGGTTCCAGCAGGAATCCAATGGCAACAATGACAATCAACACGATGATGGCACTGAGAAGGCCGGCAATCTGAAAAAGGAGGAGGAGGAGGAGGAAAAGACATCTCATTACACAATTGTCATTTCCCCCTGCTCAGGTCCCCAAATACGGGTACTGGGATGGCCCACATGGCCAAGACCATGAAGTACCTGTGTTTTGCCGCCTGTACTCTCCTGAACCCCTGATCTGGAGAGCGCTGTACTGGATGCAAATCCTCTGAAGGACCCAGTGAGGATGTTACTCAAGCCCAAAGCTATTAACTCCTGGAGGGAGAACAAGCGGGGGTGGGGGGTGGGGGTTGGTGATATAGGTACACCATATAGTACTTCAAGTTGCCCGATTAGACCCAGTGCCGGCTGTATACTTGCCTGATTGCCATCAATTGGGTAATCATATTTGAGAGAATAGACACTGGCAACCGAAAAGGCCACGGCAAAGCCAACGATTGCGATGGCGAAGCTGTCTCCTATGGTCTGTTGGAAAATCCCCACATCAGGTGTAATAGGGGCCTGAAACCTGAAATAGAAATTAAGCACGCAGGACGGTCACCAGCCCGCTTATCAGTCTTCCATGACATCTATTTGCTCTTAGGAAAAATCCTAACGCAAACCTACATTTCCAATTTCATTGCCATCCTGTCTCACATTTGTGCTCTAGTCAGACCAAGCTTCGTTGGCTTTCTTGAAGGTGCCTTTCTTGCACGTTGGAACCTTCTACTATGCCGTTCCTTTTGCTTGCTCCATCCCGCACAGCCCCACCCTTCTGTTCAGAAGTCTCCCATGACCATAAATTTGGGGTTGGGGGAGATGCTCTGTGCTTCTCCAGCTCCTGCTGGGGATTCCACACACCCTGCCTTTACTCTGCACACAAACATGGAGCAGGGGCTGGGACAACTGAAGCCACCATCCTATGCCCAGGGGCAGACACTCTCCTTGGGATACGGAAGGTGATTGTTGGACAATGAGCAAAATCTAGGCTGTGTTGTGCCTCTTTTTGGAATATCACTGGTCAGAATTTAGCCCCACTGAAAACTTTGGAATTTGCTACCTTCTTGATGAAATGCAATACTGCCTGAATTTGATGATGCACGATTGTGAATGCAGGCCAGTGATAGCAGTAAATCTAAGCGTGGCCACACTATAATGTACACTTATGTCCCCACAAGTCTTGTGCCAAAGACCTACAGTTGCACTTGTGTTGTTACATTGGGTTGTAAAGCATTATCCACAACGGGTCTAGCTGCTATCCAAGCTTGAAGGTTCTTTGAGCAAACACAATTTGGAACAAGGTGAGCAGGAAAGTCTATAGAAAACAACAACTTTTGGTGGAAAACCCTCCGGCAAACAGATGGGCCTTGGACTCTGTCCCGTGTGGAGCCAGCAGTGACTTTGCTGGAGACGGGGTTCCAGTGATCGAGCGTCAGGGGTACTTCCAACTCAGAGAAGCTATATCTCTGCTTATGCCTCACAAACTTTCAACATTTAAACGATAGTCACTCCTTATATGACCCAACCCAAACCAAACTCACTGCCATCGAGTTGATTCCTACTCAGAGCGACCCTACGGGATAGGGTAGAATGGTCCCTGTGGGTTTCCCAACTGTAGCTCCTTCCAGGAGTAGAAAGCCTCCTCTCTCCCCCGCATTGTATGACAGGAGTACAAATATAGAAAACTCAAACATCCAACACCGACACGGATGCTTAGCTTCTCTAAAGATCGACCTCTGACCTTAGGTTTATTAGAAGAGGGCCAATTAAATTCTCTCACCTGGTTCTGAATTCCTCCAAGTTCTGGGAAGACATCTATTAATAAAATATCAGCTCTGATTTTGAAGCAGTACAACGGGCCCAAGGAGTTCCGGGGGCACACGGATGAGGCGCTTGGCTGCTCACTGAAAGGTTTGCAGTTTGAGCCCACGGGAGGACAGACTTGGCTCCCTGTCCCTGTAAAGCTCCCTGCCTGTCCTCTGGGGGGACTTCTCTGTCCTGTAGGCTGCTGTGAGTTGAAATCCACTCCATGGCAGGGCAGCAGCATCTACCGTCCCGTGCTCTGCCCCACCAGAAGTCAGAAGGCTGGCTTGGGATTTTTGTTCTGACTAGATCTGAAAACAGTGGTACAATGAACTTTTGCATTTTATACCACAACGACCAGCAGCTTGCTACGGCGACTCTCTTTTTTTGGCCTCAAAGTACCATAGACGGTGATTGGGTACAGACAGATTTACCGTCTGGACAGGTGGCTTTTCTTCCGGGCTCTGCCTTTGCTCCTTCCTGAGCCAGTTTCCTCATTTGCAAAGCTTGTTCTCTTTGTCATTTTGTGGGTGGGCCAAATCAAGTAAAGACGGCAAACGCTATTTGCACACTATAAAATGCAATGTGCCGGTTAGTGATTAATAGGAGCCTGAGTATCTCCTTGGCTTTTCCTTTCAAAGCTTGGCTCCCTTTGCCATTGTCTAGGTTCACTATGTGTAACTTCACCAACTAAGGTCTCAGGCGAGACACACACACACACACACACACACACACACACACACACGAGCAGTAGAGTATCAAATAGACAGAAGCTATTGCTATGCAGTCTATTCACATTCCAGGAACCCTGCAGGATCCGAGGATTTCCAAGACTGCAATCTCTCTCTTTCTCTCTCTTAAAAAAATCATTCAAGACTGTAATCTTGAGTGCTCAACTTTCTCCCAGAGTGATACGGTGGGTTCAAACCACTGATTAGGAAAAACGAATAACCATTACCTTCCGTTATACTCTATTTGCGGTGATCAGAAATGTAAAATGCCCAATAAGTCATCCACCGGGAAAATAAAATTGGTGTAGTCCCTAACTTAGGTACCAAATTAGCAATAGGAGTCATACAATCAAACATTGATGGTAGGGTAGCTACGGCTGTAAGCAAGTCTCATGCATAATCACACTGCATCCTTATCAGAATCCTCTTCATCTAGCCACTGTGTTTAGCCCCATGGACAGCCAGGGACCTGGAGTCAGAGTTGCATCATTTTGCTCAAGGTCAGGAAGTTAGTCAGGCACACATCTCAAGGACTCTTGTTTCTAGAACATGCTGCTCACCTACCAGGCAACCCTCACTCTGTGGAGCCAAAAGGTTCAGAAACGTGAGCTACACTCCCTGCCCTCCACACCTGGTAGAAAGAGGTCTCCTGACATTTAAATGTGTATTCACTAAGTAAGGGCTCCAAACTGCACCTTGGTGATGGCCAGGTACATCTTTTCTTTCAAAAATTCTTCTGACAAAAAACAAAACAAAACACACTCTTCTGTATACACTTCAGTATACATCTATGTACTCTTTCTTCCCCTTTTGTGACTTGTGTCTCCTGAGACATTTAAAGTGGAATTACTTGAAAGTTGCTAGAAGTTGTCGTTAAACTTCAGCCTAATTGCCGTGTAAAAATCCTTTAAATGAATAGGGCTGGTTTGCATCCATTAAAGATGGGAAGATCTGGTGATTGAAACCCCCCTATTTTATCTTAAAATATATACGAGGGGGCTCCAAAATTTTCATGGAAAAATCCCACTTTCCCACAAACTTTTTGAAGCCCACTTGCACATGTTTTTAAAATAATTTGGGTATTTGAACATCAACCTCATAAAAAGTAGAGTGGGTTTCAGGTTGGGCTGCTAACTACACTGTCAGTAGTTTGAAACCACCAGCTTGCTCCACAGGAGACAAACGAGGCTGTCTACTCCAGGGTTGGAAACCCAGTGGAGTCATTTCTCCTTGTCCTATAGGGTTGCTGTGAATCAAAACCGATTTGATGGTAATAAGTTTTAATAAATACAGATGCTGGTTTTGGGATTATAAATGCAGAGTGGAGAGTGGTGGAGCGAGAGGCTCTCTTTCTCTCTCTCTCTCTCTCTCTGTTAAATAGGAAAGCAACCTTTCCTTGGCAAGCAAATTAGTAAAAGCAATGCTTTCTATGGCCAGAGAGGGCAGGGAGAGGAAAAAGAGGGCACAAAATGGAATCTCCCTTCCTTGAGATGCACTTTCCAGTCCCTGGACTCCCCGCCAGGCCAGCCATCCCTGGGCATTTGTTTTGAGCAGATCCTGAGAAAGGACAGCATGTGCCTCTCTGGGTGGCTCCAGCGGCTTCACAGCCGCTTTTGAACGCTCAGAACTTGGCTTCAGTAACCCCAAACACCGACTGTTTACGGTGACTTACTTACAGACCCGGAAATCTGCTGGCACTGGGTGCTTCTTGACGAGGAGGAAGGGATTTGTGCTGCCTGTTTTTCTACTTTCACTCATTTCCACTCGCGGGTGAGTGCTTGCTCCCTGCCTGGCCGGTGAGGTCCTCCAAGGAGAAACTTTCTCATCTTGAGAACTAGGGACGCTTACCTTCTTCACATCCCCATCCCAGCCCAGGAGGGAACCTTCCGCACGGACTGGGGGGGGTGGGGGTGGGGGTGGGGAGGGCCCGGAGAGTTCGGCTATGGGTTCGTGCAGTTCAGTCCCTACCACTGGGTCAGCAAGCTCTGCCGAGTGCTTAGCGAAGCCACCATAAAAGACTCACTTACCCACTTGGCATATCCCCAACGACAGTCACATTGAACCTGTTTTTGAAGTCAAAACCATAGGATACACCTGTGGCAATCACTGTCTGCAAAGTTGCAAAAGTGCCCGAGTTAGAAATCAGAGATGAAATCAGGAGTGTGACTCTGAACCTCTACCACTCCCAGATCCCATCCCTAGAAGCGATTAAAGAAGGAGCTCCCAGCCAACAAAAGTCCCGAGACCATTCTGGAGCCCGGGATGATGCAAAGCTCAGTGGGGACCGGAAAGGTTGGAGCGTCAAAGTGACCAAGAGGCACCTCGGAAGAAAGGCCTGGAGACCTGCTTCCAAGAAATTGGCCCTGGCAAACACCGTGAAGGCGTCTCCAGGAGACAGAGACCGCTCGAGGCCACAGGTGTTTATGCTGCTGTGTTCTTGAGGTGATTCGAATGCACCCCGGCCATGTTGAGAACCATAGCTCCAATTCCCAGGGGTCTATTACCCATCTTCTCAGAGGCCACGGTCTGCGCCATCCATGTCTTCGATGGAAAGAGAAACCCAGAGGTTTCCAAGGCTGCTATCCCATGTGGAGCGACTCTGCCTTGTGTCTAGAAATTGTGGCGCTGACACCTCAGTCAAGGGTGAAGGACTGACAGTGGAGACACACTAGGCTAAGGAACCCTGAGAGAAAAGTGAGTCGATGGGCCGTTACCATGATGAGTTCGATCGGAATGGGCACCGGAAGTTTGGCTTTGTAGCGCTGGTTGATTTCCTTAACCACAAATACAATCAACAGAATGATCAGGGATGTCACCAGGTCCGCGATATTCGTCTTCTCTATCTGTGAGAATATGGACTGAAGAACCTAAAATGATAAAGACAAAAAACAAAACGAAAGACAAAGCCAACACGCAAGCCCTGCAGGCATGCAGGGTGTAGACTCCAGACGTAATTCTGTGCACATGGACGAAAGTGAACATGTAAGACGACGTGTGGCATCAGTAGACAGAACCGGTGTAGAGCAAACAAGACCGGTGAACAATCATGCCAACCACGAAAGCGACACTGGGGAGAGGAGCACAGAAGGGTGAGGAGGCAAAGGACGTCCCTGGGCAGCAGCGGGGCAGCAGTAGACTTCTCATCTTCCGTGAGAGAGACCTGCCTTTGTTTCCCAGCCAAGCCACCTCAGGCACCTGTCTCCCCGTGGAGGCTGGGTCTGGCGATGATGCTCAACAGTGAGTCTTCCAAATTAAGTGCATCAGGTGGTGGTGATTGACTTGGTGGCAATTAACAACAACAACAACAACAACCCTAAGGGCATTGTGGCTACCACCCTGATTTAGGAGGTTTCTGGCATTTTTGCTGGAAATTTTGAGGCAAATGCCAAGATATATTGGCTAGTTAGTTATTTTTCATTTCTTCAACTGGTCTCCTGCTTGTAGGTCTCTCTGGCCATTGTTATGGATTGAGCCGTGTCCCCCTTCAACACATGTCGGAAATCCTAACCTCCATGGAGATGGTGGAAATCCCATTTGGGTATGGATTTTCCTTGCTATGTTCATGTGACAGGATCAGCTCATCTTGCCTTTTGTCTTCTTCTAAATGTGATTTATTTTTGTGATTTCTGAGACTATACTCAGCGAACCATGCACCATTTCAACAGTTGCCATGCATACACGGTCGTGATGTTGATTACATTCTTGCAGTTGGACACCCCTCCTTGTTCCCCCGTTTCCAAGTGCTCCCTAAGGCTCCTATCGAGCCTTTCTAGTTGCTGTTGTTCATTTGATCGCACGGAGATGTCTCCTAAACAGGCACAGTGCTTGAGCTTTTCTGCCTCCTACTTCGGTGAGTAGTCACGGGGTCTTCAAAGCTCCCGAGCGGCCAGCTGACCTGCAACTCTTGGTCTCTCTCTGTTCAGAGAAGAGGGCTGAAAATGAGGACATGGCCTCAAGGATTGCGAAAACGGCCGTCTCACCATTCTCAGACCAGAACTAGCTGGTGCCTGCCCTACTGCCAACCACTCAGAAACGGAGCACCTTAGAAGGGCTCCGATAGAATGGAGGGCAACGTGGGACAGAAACTCAACATCATAAAGAGCCTTACTGGTTGGATAGAGACTGTTGGAATCCCCAAATCTATGGACATTAATCATATCGGGAACTGAAGTTAGCCCTGTGTTAGAATAATCAACCATTTACCATCAAAAGGGTGGCATTTGCGCTAGGACAAAGCTCAGAGGGTTAGGAAAGAAGGAGAAGCAAACAGGAAATACAAGGAGGAGGTGGAATAAGCGATGGTACACTGGGGTGATCGCAATGAATGAGTTGAAATAAAATGTATATGCATTACGGAACGTAAGAGTGATGATTTGCTCTGTAAACCGTCGTCCAATTCACAATTTAAAAAAGCATAATGTTAAAGGTAGACTATTTTTACTAGCTAAGCTAAACTGTTGGTTGTGTTGAAGATGACTGTCAGAGAAATTTTTGGTGTCAGGTTTACGGATAATCTCGGGAGAATCGATTGAGGGTTTGATTCCCCCTCCATGCCCCTAAAAGACCTAGAGCAGGTGGGGAACATCGGAACCACATGCTGCATAAGCCCACGGAACCAGCAAGGCCATCAGACATCACAAGCCTCACCCAAGAGGAGCAGTTGGAGCTGTCACCTTAGAGGCAAGTCCATTAAACGTTTGACCAGTGTGGCCCTCAAATGATGTTCTAAATGTCCACATTGCCCTTGACAGAAAAATGGCTTCCCATTCCGGATCTAGAGTCGATGCTACTTTTAAATTCTGTTCTGCATTTTACTCCCTTTTGATGAGGATTCTTAAATGGACTCTTGGATCAAAATAGGAATGGTAACCTGGTAACCAGGTCGACTGGTCTCATGACAGAGGAGAGCATCTAGCCTCACATTCCACACTCACCTCCTGTTGTAGACCCTCCTCCTTCCTCTGATGCTCCAGTTCAATAGGGACCAACTGCTGTGCTTTGGATATCGACTCACAAGCTTTTGAGACTCGAGAGTGCCACCATGAACTCAGAACGAGTTTCCATTCCATCTCCCTGCCCTTGATTCCATTCCACGTCATAGTCATCCTATCAGAGAACTGCCCCTGCAGGTTTCTGAGACCACACTCCTTATGGGAGTAGAAAGCCTCCCTCTTCTCTATCAGAGCAGCTGGTGGTTTCCAACGGCTGAGCTTGCAGTGCGCAGCCGCACACCAGAGCCATGATGCCACCGGGGCTTCTCACAATGAACGAGGAGAGAGAGCACCTAGCACATTAGGCCCCTTACACGAAGTCACACTGGAGCCTTCAAACCCAGGAACCAAATCCCATGAAGCAGCCTCAGCAGACCTTTGAAGAATTTTGAATGAACAGCTGCTTTGTCTTTATGGAGCAGTGGAGGGAAAAATAAAAGTCTACTTGTGTCATTTACCAAAAAAAAAAAAAAAGATTTTTGACATGGTTCTGAGTGTATCTATCACAATTTTCACAGTGCATAATTATTGTAAAATGACCAGACATCCCGCTTTTGGCGGGACAGTCCTGATTTTTAACAAATTTTCCCGTGTCCCACGGTGTTTAAAAAAGTTTCGATTTTTGGAAAGAATGCACGACAAGCCAGGGTATACGGTTTTCGGCTGCCATGTGGCTATTTCGCCAGGATATGAGTTTTATCAACGGTGTCCCGCTTTTGTCCTGCTTTACCAATGTTAAAATCCGGTCACCTTAAATTATTGACATAATCACCATAATCACAATTGTGCGATCCTACCCTAAATTGGTGCTGATTTTTCTATTACTCGTACCTCCCTCCCTGCTCCCACCCTTCCTCCTCTGGAGTGACTTCTCCTTCACCGCAACCCTTTGTCCAACAGAAGGAAACATGGCCCGATCCTGCTCCAGTCTCAAAATTGTTATTTTTGAGCACCTTGTTGCCCCCACGGTATCAATCCATCGAATGGAGGTGTGGGGTGGGTAGGTGTACCTACCCACCTCTCTGTCCACTGACCTTCTACTTCCCTAAGCTTCATGTCCCTTCTCTAGGAACTCGTCCACTCTGAGAGCATGCTTGTTAAAAGTCCATGACTTGAAGTCTTGCCCTCCTCGCTTCTCAGGAGCATCTGGCTGTACTTCTGCCAACCACAGATTTGTTTGTTCTCCCGGAAGTCTACAGTACTTTCAGTACTCTTGGCCAAAACATAATTCAACTGCATCAATTTTACTTTGTCTTCCTTGTTCATTGTCCAGCATGTGAGGTGATTGAAAATATCAGGGCTTGGGGGAGATGCACCTTAGTCCGCAAAGTGTGGACATCTCTGCTCTTTAACTCTCTAGAGCCGTCTTGACACATATCTGCCCAGAACAACACTTCCTTCATCTGGTCTCGTGACTGCTGCTCCCGTGAGCTTTGATTGTGGATCCAAGTAAAACGAAGTCCTTTGCTCAAGCAGAAAGACAATGTTTTGAAAAGGATGATGGCAACATAGGCACAAGTGTATTTGATGCAATTGATGTATGGATTGTTACAAGAGCTGTAAAAGCCCCCCAATAAAATTATTTACTAATAAAAACAACGAAATCCTTCACATCCTTAATCTTTTCTCCTCTTATTGTGATGTTTTTGTTTATCGGTACAATTATGATGTATTCACTAATAAACTTTGGTCTCTACACATTTGCCTTTTATTTTTACGTGAGGTCATATAATAACTCTCTGCTATTTCACTCAGCATAATGGTTTTCAAGCTCTAGTCATCTGTAGCATATAGCAAATCAAGCGTGTATTTTTATTTCTCCTCCTGGCTGAGTTTGTTTACCCATTCACTTGATGGTGGGCATTTAGTTTGCTGTCTTCTTTGGGCTGCTGTTAGTGTTGCAGTGAACGTTGGTGTTCAAATATCCTTTGGAGTCTTTGCTTTCAAGTCTTTTGGATATATGTCCAGGGGCGGAATTACTCGGTCTTGTGTTGGTTCTATTTTTAGTTTTGTTTATTTTATTTTTTTGAGAAATTGCCACACAATGGTGGTACCATATTGCATGCTTGTCAGCAGTGGTTAAGGGTTCTGATTTTTCCACATCCTCACTAGCATGCATTTTTGTTTTTTTCTTGTTGTTATTTTCATCTTAGCCATTGTAGAAGGTGCCTTTGGACCATAGTAGGCTCCTCATTCAGCTGTTGACTGCAAGGTTGGCAGTTCAAATTCACCAGCTGCCCATGCTAGAAATATGCGTTTTTCTGCTCCCATGAATCTTTACAGCCTTGGTAAGTCACTGCAGTAGCTCCATTCTGTCATGTAGTGTCACCATAAGTCTGAGTTGCCTTGAGGATGGTAGGCTCAATTTGAATGTAGAGATTGTAGGGGGAGTGCAATGGCATCCATAGTGGTTTTGCTTTGCCTCTCTCTGATGGCTAATGACAATAAACATGTGTTTGCTGTCCATTTGAATACATATATACACATTTTGGGAAGATATCTTTGGTGAAATATCTCAAGACTTTTGCCTCTCATCTGTCTTTTTGTTATTAAATGTTTGATGTTAAAAAACTAATTTATTAATTGGGAGTTAATACATATATCATTCCATAGTTCAATCACGCCAAGCAGAATTGTACAATTGCTACCACGACCAGTTTCCAAACATTCGTTTTCTTCCTGGACTCCTTGACATCGTCTCCCTTTAATGGCCATGCCCCCTGACAACCACTGCACCCCACGGTCCCCTGAAACCCTTTTCTACTTGCTGTTCATCACCAAAAAAACCAGAATAAGGTATGACACAACTTCAAGAGGGTGACCTCCAATGACATAACACCTCTGAGATACACCCTAACATGAACAAACAAGACAAAATACAGAAAATGTTGACAAGCAGATCCGGTCCAGCGTGCACCAGAGTGGGGATCAACTGACCATGTTTTCACTGTTCAAGTCAGACTTATGCCGTTGACTTTCCATACTCTTCTCTCTAAGGCATCTGTTTAGTAACCACTTTCCTCCCATCCCTCAAATTGTGGACAGAAGGAGTTCACCAGTGGCTTATTTCCTCTGTAGCCTCGGCAAATTATTGAAGTTTTATATACATTTGGCTTGCGTCCAATTCTTCTGAGATATGAGAGATATTAGATAAGCAATGGAATAAGCAGAGATGCAGGAAGAGAGATGCCAGCCACAAGAAGCTGGCCCAGCAGCAGCAGCTCAGAGAAACAAGGGTCTTCTGTGCTGGCAGAAAGCCACCCTTCCCCTAGAGCCAGCTCCCTGAACTCAGGTGTGTAGCCGCCTACGCTCTGAGAGAATAACTCTCTGCTGGTTTAAACGACTCACGTGTATTAATATAGCACAAGATAAACCAGTCATTGCTTTATTTCGCAACAGTCCCTCCTTCTCTGTCCAGGGAATAGCCTCTGACCTTTATAGTTCATCCTTAGCATGGCTCCCTTCACCCCTGTCCATTCAGAAGTCCACACCCTGTAGCTTAGCTGGCACTCCTTGTCACCTTTGGAAAGGGTTTCCGGCCTCACTGCCCTGTGCACAGTCTGACTTGAAGAAACCAGTGGCTTCCATCTCCCAGGGGCTCTCCATTTGCTCTTGGGCAGCTCTGGAAGGGCCCAGGGAGTGTTGGTTCTAGTTTGAAACAAGCTCTCTTTCAGGCGCCCAGAGACTCTTTGATGCTAGTGCTGTGCACACTACCTGCCCTGCAGGGCATTGTCTGGAGGAGGGAAGACCGATGCTGTGTTTACATATGTCCACCCATGTTCATTGCAACATCAACGTATGCACAAGGAGGAAGCAGCCTAAATGCCTATCAACAAGCGAATGTATAAACCAAATGTGGCATATATATATACAATACCATACTACTCAGCCACTAGGAGAAATAAAGCCTTGATATATGGGGAGGTACCTCCCCAGAAACCAGATGCATTTTTTTTAAAGTTATGTATTTAAATTTTTTTTTTTTTACAAAACAACCTTATCACCTTCAAAGTACTCTCCATTACACCTAATATATTTGCCAAATCTGCCAGTCCATTCTTGGAAAAATGTTTCAGACTCATCTGTTTGGATGGTTGACAGGACCTCCCTCGTTTTTTTCTTCACCTCTTCTATGTCATCATATCGCTGTCCTTTCATGTCCCTCTTCATTGGAGGAAACAAGAAGAAGTCGCATGGATAATGTCAGGTGAGTAAGGTGCGTGGGGGCAAGAGAGGCATGTTTTTTGCCAAAAACTGGTGCACTGAGATGGCTGCGTGGGCAGGTGCATTGTCGTGGTGGCAAAACCAGTCCCCTGGGTGCCACAAATCTGGCCTTTTTTTGTCTCACACTGTTGTGCAATATTTTCAGAATCTCTAAATAGAAAGCTTGATGAACAGTCTGACCTGGTAGAACGAACTCCACGTGCACTATGAGTCGACATTTTCATCAGTTCGGGAAGTTAACTGACGTCCAGAACAAGGTTTGTCATCAATCAGCATTTCACTGTCCTTGACATGAGGAAACCACTGGTGCACTTGAGTTTCCCAGAGCGCTGCCCTCGTCAGCTGTGCTCAACATCACAGCAGTTTCTGTGGCATTATTTCCTGAGCAGGAAACCAAATTTCACAGCTGCACACCGTCTCTCAAATTGGCCATTACAAAAAACAAGGTTTGAGTGAAACTGCTTTGATGAAAAAATTCACTGTGACCAGAAAGAACCTTCTCAGGTGACACCACTGGGTGCACTAGCTCAGAGATAATTGCTTGATGCTCACCTAGTAGGGAAAATTCATACTAAGAAAGCTTTGCGCTGCCTAGTGCAATTCTAGTTTTTTATGGGTACCCTACAGGATGGATGGAACTTGAAGACATTATGCTGAGTGAAATAAGCCAATCACTGTTTTCTCTCGTTTTATAAACAAGGACTTGTACAAGGTTTAGCAGAACCTCAATTCTAACATAAGAAGGCCTGTTTTTTGAGATTGAAAGAAAACTCCGCTGCCCTGGGGTTGATTCTGACTCATAGTGGCCACATTGGATAGAGCAAAACTGCCTCCTAGGGTTTCGGAGACTTTAAATCTTTGCAGGAGCAGGCAGCCTCATCTTTCTCTCTCGAGGCGACTGGTGGGTTTGAACAGCTGACCTTGTGATTAGCAGCTCAATGTGTTGCCTACTCCTATACCACCAGGACTCACTTTTGAGGCATAGGGAAACAGTATAACTCAAGTAGCACAATTTATCCAAGTTTTCAAATGGAAAAAATGTTAAAACAGTGGGACAAAATATTAGTTTTTCATATATTTTGGAAATACTTTTGAGTCTGAGCTCAGTAGAGGTGGCGTTTAATTACTATTGCTGAAGCTAGCTGTGTGCTAGATGTGCTGCTTGTCAGTACTGTTCTCTTTGTCCCTTACTTTTCTTTAATGTGAATCTGTTGCTCAACCCCTTGATTTCTTGCAAGTTCTAGGTAAGCCCCACAGCAAAGGCATTCAGCAAAGGTCTCTAGAAACAAAAACAGTGAGTTTCATGTATTTCTGTATTTTTTAAGGGCAATAAATACTTACTTTGAAAATTGAAAACGGATCACTGTGTGCTGGCACACTCAACTGAAGCATAAATTTGAGTTGGGAGACCAACACATGAACCGCGGCCGCTGTGGTGAAGCCACTGATCAGGGAATCAGAAAGGTAGATGACCACAAATCCGATCTGTAGAACCCCCATGAGCAACTGGAAAGAGAAGGGCAAAGGCCTTGCTTAGGAGAACACTCTAGCAAAACTCAGGATCAGCAAGTTACGTGATTTACAATGTCAGGGTTCGGCCGACTGCTCTATGCCTTGCAGAAGCAGGTGGCCAGCCTCCTAGAGCCTGACGGAGAGTTCTTGCCACTCCCGTGAAAGGCTACAGAGTGTTCAGTAAGAACTAGGCTAGGGTGTCCATAAGACGTAAGTCTTCAGAAGACTCATTCATAAGCCTTCAGAGCAAAATCTTATCTAGCATCAACGCTTTGATGTTTGCTCCTGTAATTCTAAGTTATGTTTGCTAGCTGCTGCCCATTCATATTCCTTCCAACAAGTTGCCCAACTTAGGTGTATGCTATCTAACTGTTTACTCTGGATGTCCTAAGTGGACTCTGGACATCAGAAATGTTCAGCTTTAGCTGGGAGACGAAGGCGGTTTATTCTCCCACAGCACTGGTGTCTTGCAGTAAAGAGAACTGGATACTTTCACTGTCCATTGGCTACCTGGCGTGCCTTTCCACTCCTGCATCGTGCAATGCTCCTGGAGCTATGGGCACACGAAACACTTGGTCCAGAAACACATTCTGAAGAACTGGCCACATTGTCAGTAGGAAACACCACCTGGTAGGAATGAACTTTCCCCCTCTTTAGGCAACTGTCTTATACAATAATATCTTATTGGATTTTTAAAAAGTCTTATACAAGCATATCACTAGCCATAAACCTAGGCCACACCCGGAAGTGTCTGTATGGCTTGGGAGTCAAGTGGTAGGTTCCTCCACCGCCCTTGCCAGCTTCCCCTACGTCTTTGATGTGCACATTTCCAAGTGCAAAACGACCCACCCCTTTCGTTTTAGTCACAGTCTCTAAAGAATTAGAGAAAAAAATTCAAAGCTGCCGCTGTCACTACAAATTGCCTGTACCAGGGGGCCTTTGAAAAAAGTTCATGGAAAAATGGAATGAAGAGATACTGGAATTTTCGCACCAGTGTTTGGAAGCCACTTCATTTTTATCTACTGCCCTTCAACTCATTCCAACTCATAGAGACCCTGGAGGGCGGAGTGGAACCTGTGGTAGTGATGAGCGACCCTCCTCAAATGCTTTGGGTAGTGCCGTCTGGGAAACCCATAGGGTTTCGCTATGGGACAGCGCTGGCTGGATGGCAGTAAGTTACTGGCTGGCAAAGGAGGGATACTAACCAGAAAGAAAGAGTGGGGCGGTCTGGCAGGAGGGAGAAAACCCTAGGCAAATGTGTACCAGTCAGGACAAGCAGCCTGAGAAAGCCTGGTTTCGTGAGAAGGAGCGCACCTGGATGATTCCAGAAAGGATTGTCACCGTTGCAGCCACCATCACCTTCTGTTGGTCGTCTGATGTTATCCCATTACTCTCCGAGCTATTAGAGATCATCAGAGCATCCCCACCGGCGTCTGGGACCACTTTCACAACGACTGCTCCCACCATCATACTCAGAACTGGAAATGGACCTAAGTCGCATCCAAGGACAAATCATGGTCAATCGATGCTTTGTCTTTCAGCCATAATGTGAGTATACAGCTCTGCCCCGTTCCCCAGATCCCAGTCCTAATTTCTACAGGAAATGTGGGACTCTTCTCCTGGGCTGTGTCCAATTTGGAGCTGTTGGAGTTGGTGACTGATAGGATTCATGAAGGAAAAGCAGTGTGAGCATTAGTCAGCCCAATAACTCACTTACCCACAGAGATATGTCGAGAAGTGCCCAAGAAGAAGTAGACGATGACTGGGAAAAAGGCTGCATACAATCCATAGCTCGGGGGGATGGTGACCAGCAGGGCAAAGGCTAGACCTGCCAAGACACAAGCAGTTGGGGCTTGAGTTTGTGCGCGGAGTATCAGAGAAGGTCTCTTCAGGGTCTTTACGTATTCAAGGTTGGACCTTAAGTACTTGTTGCCTTGTTAACCCAAAATGGATTAAAGGCGTAAAGGCAGGAGCAAGAACAAGAAAATTCTTAGAAGAAAATACAGATATATGTCCTTATGACTTCGAAGTAGGCAATGGCTTCTTAATTTGCTGGCTAAACCATGCACAACCAAAGAACAAACTAGATCACTTGGGCTTCATCTAAATAGAAAATACAGGCACCCCAAAGGGCACTGTCCAAACCAACCAAGCTGACTGCCATGGAGTCAATGCTGCCTCAGTGAGCCCTGTGGGTTTCTGAGACTGTCACTGTTTACACGAGGGACAGCCCAGGCTTTCTCCTGTGGCACTGCCGGTGGCTTCAAACCCTTGACCATGGGGATCGCAGCCCAATGTGCAACAACTATACCACAGGGAACTTGTCAAGAAGGTAGAGAAATCACCTACAGAGTGGGAGAAAATACTTGCAAATCAAATTTTGATAAAGAATGTTTACAGTTTGGCAATAGATAGGCAAACAATACCATTATTCCTTAGGGAAATTGAAATAAAAATCACAATGAACTATCTCATCGACTCCAACCCTCAACCCAAACCCACTGTCACGGAGTTGGTCCTAACTCACATCCACCTTACACAGGATTCCGGAGCTCAGTCTTTCAGGGAGCAGAAAGCCTCATCTCTCTCTTGCAGAAAGCCTGGTGGGGTTGAACCACCTACCTTGTGGTGAGCAGCCCAGAGCCTAGTGTCACTTGGCATCCCACTACTTCCTAGGAGGATGGCTCTTAATAAAAAGGCCAAGAATGACAAGAGGGAATGGGAGGATGTGGAGAAATAGAACTCTCATTTACTGCTGGTGGGGATGGGCAACACTGCAACAACCCCCGAGGAAAAGGTTTGTCAGCTCCTCAAAATGTTCTCCGTGAGCCAGCAGAAACTACCACGTGATTAGGAGATAATCCATCGATTGATGCATGAATAAGCAACATCCCTATCGCAAAATATGATGTGTCCATACAAAGGAGGGCAGTACTGATAGACGCTGCCACAGGAACCCCCCACGAGGACGAAGCCCAACAGAGAATCTGTGGACATGGAATGGGCCGAACAAGTGAATCCCTAAGACCACAACAAACCCCAAAAGGTGGCCTAGCGGTTGCCTTGGGGTGGGGGGAGGGGAAACGGGGAGTGAGTGACTGCTAATGCCTCCGAGTTTGCAAGGGTCATGCAAATGTTCTGGAATTAGATGGTAGTGATAGTTGCACAACCTTAGGAACACACCCAATCAACGCTCTTTTAAAAGGGTGAATTTTATGGTCTGTGGAGGACAGTGTCATCATACTTTTAAAAAGTTACCTTGCAGTACGGCCACCAGACCTGTACTGATTCCAGAAACAATGTCACTGAGTAGCCATTCCTTTATCCTGTATGCCGGCAACCACGATGCTATGGGAAACAAAGAGAGGGCGATTCTCTTGGCCTTCTGGGAGGAGCAGCTGAAAATATTGAAAAACCACACATCAGTCGACTAAGTGACACGCAGCGAGCAACCTACGTACAGGTGGGAAGCGGGAAGAGCCCTGCCTGGGGAAAGGGTTCAGTGCAAGGTGCTTTTTGTTTGAACAGTTCATGGAAAAATTCCATTGTCCTGGAATTTCGGTTTTCCGTGAATTCTTTGAAGCCCTTTGTAAACTCTAATATAGATGGTCTGTAACATTATAAGAGTATAGTACGCATACATACTATTGCATCTTAATATGAACACCTCATTGTCACTCCCACTAACACTCACCTCCTGAATTCAATCCCTCCCGGGCCACCACCAGGGGATTTTTTTTTTTTTAAGCAAAGTGCTGCTTGCCTTCTGCTGGCACAGAGCTGGTTTGTCAGACACAGCTTACACTGTGTGACACCGGCCTGGAAGAGCTGCCCCTGTCCCAGCTCTTCGTCTTGCTGGGCGGAAAGGCTGCCTTCCCCACTGTGGAAGGGAGTGGGGGGCTTGGAAACGAAAGTGGACAAGGCGCAGTGTGAAGCGAGTGCAGGCTGTAGGCGAGGGGCTCGAGCCAAGAGGGAGCGCTCGGAAGCTTGCGAAGCTGGGAGACTGGGCTTTGTGTCTCCCCGAGGTTAGTATCTTTTTAAAAAATGCCTTACCGACAAGAGTCTTTGAGATGTTCCAGCAATGTCTTATGATGCCTGTGTTTCTTCTTATGCTCTTCTCCGAAGGTGGTTTTAGAATACACCGGCCTGGACACAATGTATTGGTTCCCAATGGGCTCGATCATTTTTGCCTCCTCTGGTGGCAGTGGCGAGGGGAAAGGTTGAGGGCAATCCTTCTTCTTGCCTTTGGCAGGTTAAAATGCCTGAAACCAAACAGAGCTCGCTTCTTAAATCGCTTGGAGATAATGTGATGCAATTTACAGATGAGTGAGCTCCGAACTGAATGTTACTACCTTTCGAGATCAAAAGAGGAAGGATTAAGGGACCTAGATTGTGTTTTGCCACAGCGGGATCACTTTTTTACTCCAATGACCTGGACAGAGCTCCTTTGCGAAAGTAAACAGGAAGGTTTATATATTTACTTGACCTTTTTTTCTTTCTTTCTCTCTTTTTTTGTAGAAAGATTTTCAGAAAGGAATAATACATTGACTCAGTTGACTAATCGGGGAGTCGCTTTTTGACTTGTAAAGAGAGTTCTTCTCCCCACGAAAAGGCATTTACTGTGGCGGTGTTTGCTTTTGCCTAAAAGAGTTCCCGAAGTTTGGCCGCTGCGCATGAGGACAGATGACTGTTCTGGACCGCAGGCTGCTGCCTGGGAGGGTGGCCTGGGAGCCCACCCCAAGGCTCCCCAGGAGCAGGACCTGATGTCGTGGAAGCCCAAGGGGGCAGCTCTGGTCTCCCTGGGGTCGTTGTGAGTCAAAATGGGCTTTGTGGCTACGACAGGCACCTTTGTCATTTCTTGTGAGGTGTTTTCACTCTAGAAACGCAAAGCTGTTGCTCGTGTAAGATCTTTGCTAATTGTTTACAACGTTTCATCGAGGAAACTATGATATGAAGTAAATATTACTTGGTTACTTAACGCATTTGGGATGAGGTCTTTTTTATTATTATTTTGCTTCTGCCAGACAACTTCGTATTACTTCCAAAAAGCAACACTAGAGACTAGATCTTGCAACCTACGTTCTGACCAACTCTAAGCTTTCTGAAATGAAAAAAGGCCTAACCACATCGGGAAGGTTTTTAACGAACAAAAAAGGTTAAGTACAAATGTTCACATGCAGAACACTGCATCGTTGGCGACCTCAGAGCCAAATATGAACTTTTCTTCACCAAAAGAAAATTTGGGAGAGGGGTGGCGGCAGTGGGGTGGGTGGGTGGGTAGGCAGGAATGTTAATCCTGATGAGTACAGAACTTCAGTTTGGCTTTATGAAGGAAAGAAATTTCGAGGAAAAATAGCTGTAAATCAAATAATATCTTCTGAAATAAATGGCCCAGGCTAGCCCATACATTTCTGAGGTTGACGCTGAACCAGCTCTGGGGTAAAAATGAAAACGTGGGGTCTACGGTGACTTCAAACGCAGTACGAGGAATAAAGCAAGTCACCTCCGTTCCAGAAAGGGAGGTCTCTCTTAAGGATGGTGGAGACACTCTGCCGACGATGCTCAGAGAGCCTAAGTTCCTTGCACCCTTTCCCAGCCACTCCCAACGCTGTCGGCGAGACTATCGAGACTATCGGAGGTCCTCCCATAACTCTTGGCCGGGCATCCGGGATGAGGTTTTTTACAAGTCATATGCAGGTTCGTGGTCCTTCTGAGCCTCAACTGGGATAACTGGAATCATAATACCCAGGTTTCAAGATGATTGTGAAGAGTAAATGAGAATATTTTCAAAGTACTGTGCATTGGAGGCAGTCACGAAATTGAACTATTAGCATTTGTCTCCTCAACATGTTTAACGTTAATCTTTCTCAGTTCTGTTCCTATGATACCCGAACCATCATTTTCACAAAGCATTACAGTCATTTTCATGTACATGATTCTTCAGGCATCACAATTTGAGGGGCATTGACTATGATTATTATTATTACTTTCCTCTTCTTACAAATGAGAAAACTCCTCCACACTCTACCAGCTCACTCCTCCCAACAGAGCCACGCAATCTTTCACACGACCAACAGTTGTCAAAAAACAGGACTCCATTTTCAGACTTCCTTTATGATGTCCTCTATAAACACATGGTTTCTCTAGGGACCCATGGGAGCCTACATGAGGGGCATACTCGCTGTTCACGAAAACCCGGCTCCCTGCCATCGCGTCCATGCTGACGCATAGCAACCGTCTCCATCTGGGGTAGGACAGGGTGGGACGTCCCTGTGGGTTTCCAGGACGGTGACTCTTGGCAGGTAGAAAGTCGCATTGTTCTCCCAGGGAGCACCTGGTGGCGTCAGACTGCTGGCCTTGCAGTGAGTAGCCCAACATGTAACACACTGTGGCACCAGGGCTCAGCCTTGCAGGTAAGATTAAGTGTGCTATAAAGTGCCAGCTGTTAGGTTTAAAAAAAGAGATCTTGGTTCCTGCCTACCACCCGTAATGCCAGACTTCAATCACAGTTGTTAGATTATCTCAGACCAGATTGCCGCTGGCCTCTCGGGGCTTTCTCAGAGATCAAGGGACTTTCAGTCTGTTTGCAGAGCTCACAGGGACAGCGAGGAAGCCGGGGCTGGTTCCAGCTGCTGGCTCTACCTGACCCTCTCTGACCACCTACCTCACTCCCCAATTCCATTCCCTAGCCTCCCCTACCTTTCTCTGCATGCGCACCACCCCCTGGCTTGACCTTCAGAAGCTGACTCCCTTTGAACTTTGTTATGACCCCTGGATTCGCCTGGACTGATTGTTCTTTCAGAGCAGCCTGAACTCCCACCCCGCCCCCAGCTGCTTGCTCACCCTGTCCGCCATATCCACCCCTTCACCCTGCCACCCCAAGTTCCAGGTGTCATCTGCTGTGAGAAGAAGAACCGAGGCATTTGAACCGTGCTGGAGAAGAATACTGAAAGTACCTTGGACTGCCCTAAGGACAATCTGCTTTGCAAGAAGTATGACCAGAGAGCTCTTAGAGGCAAGGATGGGAAGACTTCATCTTACGTACTTTGGAAGTGTTGTCAGGAGAGGCCAGTCCCTGGAGAAGGACATCATGTGCAGTCACGAGCCAGCGAGAAAGAGGCAGGGCTGACACAGTGGCTGCAGCAATGGGCTCAAGCACAGGACATTGTAGGATGGTGTTTCGTTCTGTTGTGCGTGAGGTTGCTATGGATTGGAGCTGACTCGGTGGTCCCTGGTAACAACATAGTCCTTCTCATTGTCAGAGAACTTGCTTACCAAGTGAAGTTGGTTTGCCCACTTTTATGCTTGGCTGGGGTCTTTCGGGCCCCTCTGCTCTTTTTTTTGGCCATTGAACAGCAATATAGTTGAGGCATTAACATTAAGATCCAACTCATGTCAATGACTCCTGACATTTTGGATCTCTGGCAAAGTTTCTCGAGAGTATCTTTCAAGGTCATCTTTCATCCTGTGATGTCTCCAACCTAGCCAACCTCAGGGCACGAAGACAGAAGCACTGAGTATTTTTATCTCTCCCGGATGTTGCCCTGAACAACAATACCAAGAAGACTTGTTTGTTTGTTGCTTTCTTCACCAGTGACTTTACACAAACTCATCCATTCTGTTCTGGATAGAAAATCCCGATGGCGTTTCTTTTTCTTCTTTTTGCTAGTGTGTGTGTTTTCTCTGCTAAGTCTTGGTTTAACGTTTTACCATTGGCAGAAAGAACAACGCCATTCATTCCTAACCAGAACTTAACTCTTCAGTGAGCCTCTCGTGCTTCCAACTGAGGCAAGGCCTGAACTTGCCCCCTCCCAACAGAGACCTGGCAAAGCCCTGTCTAACCCTCAAGCAGGAAGCCTGGTGGCTTCGAGGGCTGGGCTGCAATGACCACAAGGTCAGTAGTTGGAAACCGCCAGTGGCTCCGTGGGAGAAAGATGTAAAGATTTACAGCCTTGGCAACCCACTGGGCAGTTCTGCTGTGTCCTACAGCATCCCAATGAGCTGGATTCTATTTGATGGCAGTGCATTTGGGGTGTGTGTGTGTGGGGGGGGAGGCATCTAAGCACTGTTTAAAAAGAAGGGACCCAAAGGGCAGGCATTGGGGCAATTTAAGAAATCGTTCCAGAATTTGGAGAGAGAGACCTGGAAGGGAACATTCAAGTCTTTTTGCTTTATTTTTCCTTGACTCCCATTCATGCTCCTACAATGTGCTGCCTCGTATTTCACGTGTCACAAGTGAGCCCTGAGCTGTCCGCTCTCTTGGCCCCTCTGTTGACGAGATGCTCCAGATGCCGCCATAAATCAGCGCCGCTCTCCAGCCCATCATTCCTGAGATGCCCGAGGATGACCTACTGCAATGAGGAATGGAAAGAGATTTTGCTAAATTTCTTTTTCACCTGAGCAAGTTGCCTTTTCCCCACAGAGACTCTTGGAATGCATGCACTTGTTTCTAGAATTGCAAATCTAGTTTCAATTACTACGTCCTCGCTAATGTGTGCTTTTTAATGCCATTTTATCTTTTCCATTTAAGTGTCTCTGCGGTGTCCTAAGGGTGCTAGTGATTTTGGGGGGGCGGGGGGGAGGATTGAAATTGATCCAGGAAAATGGAGAAGCCCATCTGTTTTCTTATTTTTCAACATTTCCACTGCTGTTTAATTTCCATGGTGTGTTCTATCTATTTTTGGCCTTAACGAATTAATGTGTGTATGTGTATATGAACATGCATACATATACATATATACACATACACATATATGGCCGTGCTCTGGTTTACTCATTATCTCTGGTTTATTTTTTTCTTTTTCTGAGCTGAAATTTAATCCTGAGATTAATTTCTGAAATGTGACTTTCTCAACTTAACGATTCCAATAACTTTTAGATTTCTAGGGATGGTCATGTCAGGATCACCCATCCCAAGTCCCACTCATCTTCAGTCAGAAGTTCAAGCCCGGTCTCCGGGCCACCTGAGCATCTCCACTCCACTGCGGGCCTCACCCCACTGAGAGGTGTCTGTCTCCTAGCCAAGCCTTTCTGCTCCTTGACATTGATCTAGTCAGTGTTCTCGTCTTTCTCTTGAGAAACAACTATTGGGACCCCAGATGCTCTTCAGTGAGCTTGACCTTTGTCTTTTCTCCATGGCAGTTTCAAACCAAGAAGCCAGCTGTGTGAAGAAAGGCATTTCCCA